ACCAATTATTATTAGATCCAATTTGCTTAGGTGTGTGACCCTGTAGGATCATATAATATTAGTAATGAATTCTTAATTCATAAATTATAAGCGGTTTCTAGCAAAACATTATAACCACCTAATATTATATGATTGTCGAACCTCGACGTTACGACTTTAACTAGAGTAAATACAAATGATTTTAGGACATTCCCAACAAAACCATGGTATTATTTTTATGTTACAAAAATAAATTACATGTTTGCCTTTCTTTGTCTCCATCTAAAAGTTTTGAATGTTTGCCTAAGTCGCTTTTCCTCATTATTTTTTCGCTTTTCCTCTTTATATTCAGGATGAGGTCAATTCCATGTTTAGAGTCCATTCGTGCAACCAAGGAATCACAAATCACTTTTTTGAACTGAAAATGTGAACATTATTTAAACTATTAACTTGAGTGATATTCTTTAATAGACTACCAAGAAGAGTCTTTTGTACAAACAATATACATGTGTTATATATATAGTACCCCCACCGAATTAATGGTTTAAAAATAAAATAAAATAAAAGTTCAAATATCAAAGAAACATAGAGCCTTAAAAAGGCCAGAGGAAGGTAAGTAATTATCCTTTGACAGCTACCATAATTACTGCCTCTGCCACCCACCCCCTTTCTTCTTTCTCTATACAGAGAGTCTCTCCTAACTAAATCTCTTTCTTTCTCCTGCATTGTTTTTATCACTCGCCTCCTTCTTCATCTCCCTCTTCCTCTTTCTTTTTCTAACTTCTTTCATCACTGCATGTTTGCCTCTTGACTCAAACCATCTATCTCTGGTCTTTATATACTACCAGAGAAGATCATCTCTGGCGACAATGGCTTCTACTTCAGGCAGTGTTGGAAGAGAAGTAACTGGTGAAACAGGTTCGCCTCTTGCTAAGACTTCTCTACCGCCGCCTCGTCCGAAGTCTCCACCGGAGTATCCAGATTTGTACGGGAAACGCAGAGAAGCGGCCAGAGTTCAGATGCTAGAGAGAGAGATTGGTTTTCTCGAGGCAAGTTCAAATTAATACTATTCTTTTTAGTTATTAGTATTTCTTTTTTTTTTGTTAAGTACTACTACTATCACTATCTCTGTCTTTTTATAATCTGTCACATTTTGATTACTCTGAGGAAGTGTCCGAATATTTTGAATTTCATGATACATTTGTTTTTATTAGTCCTAACTAAACAAATGGCATGTAGTACTGTACCAGCTTCTTGATTATACAATTAATTAATCATTAGTACACAGTAAATAATTTTGAAGGGGGGGGGGGGGTTGAATAATTACTAGGTTTGGTTTTGTGTGAGTGAGAGAGAGAACAGAGGTTATTGATTTGCTAAACCTTGGTTCCTACTATATCCAGGTTGGTTTGGACTCTGGACCGTTGTGTGTATGTTTGACAGCAAGTTTAGTAAACAAGATATTTATGTTTATTTATTCTCTTAGATGCTATCAAAAAGAGTAATTAATTTATTTATGTCATCAGACATATTTATTTCATATTAATTCCAAATTAGTACTGGTACTCTTTTAGAGTAATAATTTATCTCATCAGACACACTTATATCATATTAACTTCAAACAAGTACTTCTATGTATGCAAGGACGTTTCCATTTTAGTTAATAGCATGTTTTGAATAATAATTCATTTGAATCTCTGAACAGATTTTTTTATATTATTATTTTTGTTTAGGTTGGGGGTTCTAACGGATCTATTTGAGCATCAGTTAAATACTAACCTAGTTAGGTCCCTATGCTTTTTATTTAACCTCCAGCGTAACCCATTAATTTCATAATGATAGTTTTTAACGAGAATTTGCAGTCATAGTTACCAAGTTAAAAAAGTTTCATTCCTTGAACTTTAAAATTAAGTATTTGCTATATAAAAACAAAAAAAAAAAGAGTTTGATCATCTTGTAGTGTGAATTGATTGATGAGACGCCCATTTACTCTGTTGTTATTAGCATCACTGAGGCGTGTGTTTCGTGCATGTGTACTATGAAAGTGAGTGTTTATATAAAGAAAGTATGAAAAGTAAGATATAAAGAAAAGAAGAAAATAAAGGTAAAGAAAAAGTGGAATAGAAGATGTAGATCTTTCCAAAAAAAAATTATTGAATTTGGTTAAGCTTCCTTTGCAGTTTTTTTTTCATTTGTTGCTTTTCATTAACAATCAATTTGTGAAAGTCTTTGTCGTTATTGCTATTTGCGCTTGAAAGTAACATATCCTTGCGCACCTTTCCTTCATGTTGCTTTCATAGATCTCCCTTGTGTTTTTATAAATTTTTGAGAAATGAAATCATTTTTTACACTGTATATGTTTGGTTTCTCCTGATATTTTTCGAAATGTGAAATTCTTGTTGCGTTTTGTCCCATTGTGAGCTTAGCTTTTCTTTTTTTTTTTTTTTAACTAAACTTTTCTCTTTTTTTTTTCCAAGCTAATAATACACTTTTATTTTGTTAATGAAGTTTATTGAACTGATATTTAGAATCTCGTCATGAGCAGGGAGAAATTAAATTTGTGGAAGGCGTACAACCAGCTTCTAAATGCTGCAAAGAGTGAGATGATCTCTATGTTTTATAAAAAAATGCATCAGTTTGGTTTATTTGATGAAAATATACATGTTTCTGGAATCTCACGTATGTAATTGTATTTTTATTTATTTTTACTGTGGCAGGGTCTCTGATTATGTCGTTGCGAATTCTGATCCATTGATCCCTGCGTAAGAATGTTTCTAGTTAACTCCACTGACTTCACATTTCTCTTACTCTTCCGGCTCTTACAGTTTCGTTTTTTTCTTCTTCATATGGTTAGACAACAAAAGAGTCGAAGACACTGCCGGTTCTGGAAATGGCTCTGGTAAGAATTTACCGCCCGCTAATCTTATTTTTCACTGCGATTTATATTCACTTGGGACCAATGTAGGGTAATTGTCAGTGCCGTCTAAAAAAGCAGGCAACTGCTGCATTGTCACATGTTCTTAGTTTTTAAAAGAAAAATTTTGAATATATATCAAAATACTGAATATGTAAAAATATATTCCAAAATAATTCACTTACAATATAAAATACATGTGTGATATTCAATTTCATAGGACGAAAAATAGTTTGAGACCGTCGTTGTAATTATAAGTATTTTTTAGGCAATGCTTGATCTTAGATGGATAGAGTGACATATATATATATATATATATATGTAACAAAGTGATACTAATAAACTAACTCGATGCAGTAGCTGTATTCCGTGTTTGAGCCTAGCGAGTTTCTGCTGCTGCTGCCAATCCGAGTGTTCGTGTCATCTGAGGAAGCCCAAGTGCTGCAACTGCACAAGTTGCTGCTGCGTTGGATCCAAATGCTGTGACGGGTCATGCTGCTCAAATATATGTTGTTGCCCGAAACCGAGTTGTCCGAGCTGTTCATGCTTCCGAGGTTGTTGTTGTTCTTGTCCGGACTTGTCTTGCTGCATACCCACCTGTTTCCGAAGTTGCTCTCGACCGTTGTGTCTCAACAAGAAGAAGAGCTCATGTTGCAGCTGCAAATGCAAGATCAAATGGTCATCTTGTTTTAAATGTCCCAAGGTAAGACTATGTTGTTGTGTTTGCAACTGTAAAAATCTATGTTCTAATCCTTGTTGTTTAGCTTTCTAGACTTTATTTATTATTATTATTGTTATAGCTATTTTCTCCTATAATTCATATTTTTGTTCATTTCTTACTCTTTTTCTTAATTTTTGTAATAAATTTGTGAATATTTGTCGTTTTTTTTGTAAGTGATGATTTTATAATTTTCTATCAAGCAAACCTCCTCCCATGAGATATGTCAGTATACAAAATCTTTGAATGTCGGACCAAAGAAAAAACAAGATATTAAGCAATCATAACTACATAAGGATCGTTCTGTCTACATTGTATCTGATCTCCCCAACTCAGCAGCAACAATGATCTTCATTACTCTTTCATTTTGGGATCATCAACGAATATTTCTTCTTTAATCTTTGTTACCAGTTATTAAGTTCCCAATGGACAATATACAGATACAGTCACACACCACGTTTGCATGGTTGCATTTGCATCTCTAACTAAATTGGCTAAACATTAGCATCATGTTTCATCACGGGTTGATTTAAAACTTTATACCAGTGAGAAATCAATCAGCACTGATGAATGCCAAATAGTACTAACCAATTTGTAACAATATTCGTAGGTCACAACTATATACAAAAGTGACGAAACATGTATAACAGAAGATCCGACATGACATTCATTGCTTTTGTCCAATGGTTATCCCAAAAAGATCTTAGCGATACTCGAATTAATTACAAAATTATATTCTCTTTAGATCAAAGTAGTCAGAGAGAACAATTCAGCAGAGGTAAAAAAAGATAGATCTCATGGTGAAAATTATAAAAACTCGTGTAGATTTGCATAATAATTGATCGAGGGTTTCTGGATCTGTACGGTTCGGATCCAACTGGTGATCCAGAAGTCAGAAGTGAAGGTGTTTTCGACTTTTTATCTTCTTCTTTTATGACTTTTAGAGGTCCCATTAAAGAAAGACTAAGGTGTTGTCTGTGTCATAAGGAAGAAAAAAGGGGGTCGAAAACGAAAATAGATGAAATTTAGGGTACACAAAAGTGTCAGGTAGGTGAGAAAATACAGAGAAGTGGACCTATCTGCAAAGAAAAGTGGTGTAAGTAATTAAATGAAACTTGGCAATACCTCCTTATCATATATGGCTCGATGCATCTTGTGAATTATACACTGACACTCTTCGCTTGTTGTCCTCTTGTTTATATCATTCATGTTGTTATAGTTGTTAGTTTCAGGTGTTTAGAGATCTCGATATCTTAATAAATATATTTCAAATGTTTGACTTGATTGATTATAGAAATACAAATAATATGCTTACTGGTAGTAAGACTAATGGAAAAAGCTATAGTAGAATTCTTTTTACATTTCTTTATGTAACTTTCTTGCTGTAAGTATTGTTTCGTAGTTTTCACTTGTTGCTTTAGTTTTGCGTTTTTCATACACATGTACAAATTCCTTTTGGATTTCTTATTCTTAAGCTTATATTTATATTATTAGGCTCAAGTCCTATATAGAATATTTAAGTAAGCTAAGAACATCTTCATCGGTCGTCTATTTTAACTTGGACCTGAAAACCCGATCCGGAACCAACTTGGTACCGACCCGAAAATACCCAATTCGAAACCAAACCAAAAATTTATAAATACTTATTAGGTCTAAGTTTCTTTTACCCGAAAGAACCAGAACCGAAAAGAACCGATCCGAATAGATCCGGATCCGAAAAGAACCGATCCGAATAGATCCTACCAAACATCTATATCCAAAACTATGATTTTTTGTGTTCTATTTTATATATTATTTTATGATTTAATTGAAATATTTTTGGTTAACAACATTTATTATTATTTTGTAGCATTTTTTGAAGCAATATGAAGCTTTAAAATGAAAAAGTTTGAGTTTATAAATGGTTTATTTTAATTATTAATAGTTTCATTTAAGTTATTTTGTACTATTTTAGATATATATGATAAATATCGAGTAAATTTGATGGAGTTAGATATGTGATGTCCTTTTTAGATCCTAAATACCTGAACCCGACCCGAATCCGATATAGACCCGAAAAATACAGATATGTTATGGGTATTTTTATTATAGACCTGAACCGACCTGGACCCGAGAAGAACCGACCTGAACCCGAACCGAAAATTTCTAAGTATCCATTGGATCTAAATGTTTAAGACCCGAAATACACGGACCCGAAAGGAACCGGCCCGAACCCGACCCGAAGACCCGAACGCCAGGCCTTGTGGGCACCACCAAAAAATAAAACAGTTCCTTCCTGTTGCGAAATAAGATACGTGTGTTGTACTGTTTTGCAGGTCCCATTAACATGTGGTGACTCGCGTTTGGTTGGTTTTTAATTTATTTATTTTTAGTCACGCAGAAAGCAAAAATAAAAAAAAAAAGAAAAAAAAAAAGGAAACCCAATTGGGTATTTGCCATAAAGATGTTCTAAGGCCCAATGTTTACGTCAATAATCCTAGCAGAGTCCAACTTATCTGTAGCAGATTCAAGAAGCCCATGCATATGAACCAACTCATGATCAAACATATAATACATGCATATTATATTATTATCAGATTTAATTCTGGATTACAATCTGCATTTGTAATCATACAAGCTAATAGGCTACAAGATCTCAGATTAGGCCTGGGCATAAAAACCGGAATCGAAAAACCGAACCAAAATATCCGAAACCGAAATCGGACCGAAATTCTTAAATATCCGAATGGTTCCTATATTTATATATCCGAAAAATCGAACCGGAACCGGAACCGAACCGAGAACCGAACGAGTACCCGAATATCCGGAAAAAAAACAAGTTAATATTTTTTAAAATAAGATAAAATGACATCAAGCCCACTTGAACCCATATTAGTGAACCCATATTAGATACAAAGGATAAGTACATTTTTACCACCAGAGCACATTATGTTTTATTTATTCTTTTATATTATAAATATATATGGTATTTCTATATTAAAATATGATAAATATTTGTAAAGTTAACACTTTATTGATTCGAACTCTTGTTAGATTGACTTATATGTAAGTGTGTAAACACTAGACCATTTAAATTAACATATTAACTAATATATTCTGTATATATATATATTTGATTTATATATTGAATGGGTACCCGGAACTGAACCAAAACCAAACTGGAACCGAACCGAAACCGAACCGAAATCTCATAAGTATCTATTGGATATAAAAATGATTTATCCGATATACCCGGAACCGAATGGTTCTTATCCGGAACCAAACCAAATATCCGAATGCCCAGGCCCATCTCAGATTATTATAACTCGCACACGCATATTACTGAATTTCAGTTTGGCTTATAACATAGCCATCACTAGTACAAACTATTAGACTACACTGCTTAAAATAAGATATGGTTTAAAATCACAATGCCTTAATCAAAAGAGAAGAAGATTGTAAATTGCCCTGAGTTAAGAGGGAACGTTATACAGCCACACAAAACTGAAAGTTGATGAGATGAGACTATAAGAGGATAAGAAACGGTCCAGAGAGTCCAAATTAGGAAGGAAGAGATATGTTTGCTCTTTGCTCAAAACTGGACCACATCAATCTCTCTTCTTCTCCACTCCTTTCAGTTTTTCCAATATCTTCTTTACAAAAATATCCAATAAAAAGTGACTCCTAGATATTTTGATTTCTTGAACGACCGTTGGGATGGGAGTTTCTGTTTTTTTTTTACCCTCCAAGCTTTAGGTTCTTACCACCTAGTACATTCTGCCAGAATCAAAACCTTGAGAGTAGTTCACAAACAATGATGTCACTGTTTCTTAATGCTAAGCTATTTTGTAATGTAGTATCCTTTCCAAATTTATTGGATATCCGCAAAATAATACTCATAATGTTAGCTTTAGTTAATTTAATTCATACTAGGAAGTAGATGTGGAACAAAGTGACTGAGCTAAGATACATCAATAATCATGTAAAGATGATTATTAATACTCTTCTACCAGTTGAACAAAACTTTTTTTTTTTTTGAAACACTAACAAAACTTCTTTAAAAGGTCAACTTTGTAAACAAACCATTTATCACCATTCTCCAAACTGACAAAGATCTATGACCATTGATACCCCATCACAGCCATGTGCTTTTCCCCCACGTACGTACACCCAAAGTTCACATGCATGGTAATGCTAACAAAAAATATCACTTATTAGAGGCTCCTTCGAGACCATCCTCACGTTAACCATATCAATATCTCTATATAAACCCAAAGGCCTCTCATTCTGCCTCATAACTTCAAGACTCTTGTCTATATAATCTCATAAGAAAATGAAAATGATAATCCATATTTTCTTCATCATATCCTTGGTTTCATCCATCTCTTTCGCCTCCGTTCAAGACTTTTGCGTAGCTGATCCAAAGGGTCCTCAAAACCCATCAGGTTACTCTTGCAAGAACCCTGACCAAGTCACCGAGAATGACTTCGCATTCTCTGGTCTCGCCAAAGCTGGAAACACTTCCAACATCATTAAAGCCGCAGTGACTCCAGCCTTTGCACCTGCCTTCGCAGGTCTCAATGGTCTTGACGTCTCATTGGCTCGTCTTGACTTAGCCGGTGGTGGTGTCATCCCTCTTCACACTCATCCTGGTGCCTCTGAGGTTCTTGTAGTCATACAAGGAACCATCTGCGCTGGTTTTATCTCCTCTGCTAACAAGGTTTACTTGAAGACTCTCTCAAGAGGTGATTCCATGGTGTTTCCTCAAGGGCTTCTTCATTTTCAGCTTAACTCTGGTACAGGACCTGCATTGGCTTTTGTTGCTTTTGGAAGCTCTTCACCGGGTCTCCAGATTCTACCTTTTGCTTTGTTTGCTAATGATTTGCCTTCAGAACTTGTTGAAGCCACAACGTTCCTTAGCGATGAAGAGGTTAAGAAGCTTAAGGGTGTGCTTGGAGGAACTAATTAAAGCTTCTTTTCTATTTTTCTAAGTTTTTGTCTGTGTTTATGGGTTCTTTTATTCATAGCACTCTGATTTTTATTACAATGGTAGTGTTTTCTTTGTGTTGCTCTGGTTCTCAATGTTTCATTTTATTGTCGCTATGCTTAAACTGCAATAAGTAATAAGCATTACATTACAATGATAAAGCGTACCTTTTTCTACACTTCAACCTCCAAATACTCCTGAGGTTTACAGCTAATGACAGTGTCCCAAGTATTTTTGTTTGTTTGTTATTTCCATTGATCTCTTAATTGTACCACAAACAGCGATTATTCGATCCGCAAAACCTAAACTAAACACATAAATAACACAGGTGCAACATTGAAGTGACTCCACACCACATAACATTACCTTTACATAGCATTAAAAAATCACAAACCAGACATGGACTAATTCTTCACTTTCACTTCGGCATAATCACATTTGGGTTTCGTTTGTGTGCGCTCAACTTTCCCATTTTCCCAAGCTCTTTCCATTTAGAACCAGAACCAGACACACTCCACAACTTATCACCAGACTTTGGTTTCATAAGAGGAACCTTGGTGTTTCCTTTCCCCATTCCATTAGCCATCAACCACCTTGAACCAGATTGCACCTGCTGATTCTGTGTCGTGATTCCCCATGGCTTGTTATCTGTCTCGCTCTTCATACCAGTAAGATGAACCTCTGAGATTTTGTACTGAGGGATTCCTTGTTCCTCCAACATGGTTTTCTCCTCTTTGACCTCGGTTTCTTCTTCCTCTTCATCGGTTTTCCTCAGGTCTGAAACTGTACTGTAGATTATAGGCTTTGGAGGGACAAACAATCTCTCAACTTGGATAAGAGAAAGCATAGGAGCTCCAACAGGTTCATAGTTTCTTAAGGGATCTCTGAGTTGCACCATTAGTGCTACTGTGAAGTTATTCCCAAGTAAACCACACTTCCTTCCTTTTTTACCTTTTCGTTTCTCTCCTTTTGATCCTTTACGGATAAAGTTTAGTGGGTTTGCATGATGAGCAGCCAATATTTTTGACGTTTTCTCATTTATTTCCTCTTCGTCGCCAATGTCACCTGAATCCAACTTCATCCACTCATCAAGAGTCAAGGAGAGACCCATTAATCCATCATCATCAGCACCATCTCCGTCTTCCTTTATGTTCAGAAGTTGTAATCCAGCCGCTCCTTCCAGCCCCTGGAAGGCTGACATCTCTCCAATAGATTTTGCAGTGATGTCCGAAGGTGCATCCTCGTCTGACATTCCTGACTGTATTCTCAATCCTTCCAAAGAAAGTGCTTCAATCTGGTCCATAGCCAAAGGAGCAAGATCTTCAAGTGATACATACTCTGAGCTCAAGTTATTGTTGCAAGAGCCTGAACCAAACTTTTTTGGCTTAGCTGCAGTATCATGCTGTGGTATATGATCCCTGCGTTGAGAAAATACACTAACTAGTAAGAAAAAGCTGTTTCACAAATAAAAAATGTGATGATAAGATTGATGCAAACCTATGGCCACCATCAACTGCAGGTGAAGTATCCCACAACACTTCTTCCATAGTTTTCCCTGTTATATCATCCAAAGGCATTACTTTATTAGCTTGCATTGAGAGCTTCTCAATTCCAGCATTAGCTAGTCTCTGAAGAATCTCCATGATACCAGAGCCCATCTCAGCAGGCACAACCACTGGACTTGACACTTGCATGATCAAGCTACCTCCTGCTTTAGAGTTTCTGAACAGTAAGGGATTCATTGAACGTACAAACCCTCCATTCTTTGTCTGCACAACTGGACCCAAACCATCTCCTAGAGGAGGCAAATCAAACGGCTCATTTACTGGGAAATCAGCTGGAGGAAACGCATTATGAGGCGGAGAGTTCTGAAATGTGTTTTCATTCATACCCCACTCACGCATCAGAGACTCCGTTTCCAAGTCTTCCAACATTTTGGCCCTGGGGTTGCTGCTGACTCTTGCTTGAGTTTCTATTTGGTACTCTTCTTCTATGTCATGAACGAGGGAAGCCAGATCAAAACCTTCTTCAAAATCTGATTCATAGTTTTCATCACCTTCCATTTGAGGATCATCATCAGCTTCAATACTAAAATCAAACAAAGAACTGGCCGCTAGAGTTTCCATTTCAAACTCTCTCAATAGACGCTCCCTTGGAGACTCAGGTTCACTCTCAGAAGTTAAACCAAAAGGGCTGTGTTCAATACCTAGCATGTCTAAGAACTCGTTTGCCACAGAATCAGCCACATCTATCGAACTTGTTGATGCTGCTTCCTTATTTGGTGTGGAGGCTTCATGGTTTTCTTGTTCTTCCTCGTCTTCTGACGCCGTTGCTTCCAACATTTCTACACTTTCCAAAGCTAATTCAAGATCTTTCATTATCATTTCTCTCACGTCTCTCCCACAGTTCATTATGTCTTCATCATCACCAGAAACAATACCTTCATCTTCCTTCGGAGAAACATTGCTCCCCTCTTCTGAAGGTAAATTTTCTACACCAACTTCCTCACTTCTAGTAATAGGAACTTCTGCAGCTATCTTCGGTTCCTCAAAAGAGACATCAGTTTCCTTCTTGTTTACCAAAGGTTCTTCTGGAGGCAAATTTTCAGTACTAACTTCCTCACTTCCGGTAGTAAGAACTTTGTTAGCTTCCTTTACATCTTCTAAAGGAAGATCACTTCCATTCCTGTTCACCAAAGACTCTTCTGGAGACAAATTTTCAGCATCAACTTTCTCACTTTCAGTAGTAAGAACTTCGTCAACTTTCTTTACATCCTCTAAAAGAACCTCGCTTTCATTCATGTTTGCCACACGCTCCTCAACTTGATGTGCATTTGCATCTTCGTTTTCATAAGAAATTGACTCATCAGGTTCAATGTTTTTAATGACAACCTCAGATTCAAACTGGGACTCAGCTGCTGCATCCACCTTCTCCTCATCAAATTTTTTATACAGAGCGTTTACAGAACTGACTAGGTCAGACTGTACAACGGGAAGAACTTCATGAAGATCTTTGACTTCCACCACATTCTTCGACAGAGGACGAGAGTCTTTGTTAACAATGCCATGATCATAACGCTTAGATACCGACTTGCCATTACCTAAACTTGACTTTACACTACTAGCTTTTGTCAACGCTGTGTTACTGCTAGCTTGCTTTGCATTTGAAGCACTGCGAGTATCCCCAACAACAGTGTACCCAAAACTAATGCTCAGAGTAGCACCACTAGCCTTTCCAGTCAACTGAAACGTTGTTGACCACTTACCCGAGCTCTTCTCATCTTGCAACTCCTCAAGTGTTAGAGGAAGCAAAGTAGTAAGATCCATCCTATGTTTACCCAAATCAACATCAGGAGACCCAACCAGAGCCGCATACAACAAGAAATGCTTAGCTTCATATTTAGCTGAGTGATGCTGTCCACTTCGGCTTCCGTAAACTGAGCACGTATGTGTCAGCTTGTCCTTAAACTCAGCTTTTCCGTTCAAAACTTTTGCAGGACGAGTGCTTAATGATTCATCACGGCGTTTCCAGTGAACAGTGAGGTAAAGATCCTGGAATGTTGAGGGTAACCCGTCTATTGAATGGATTTGAGCAGAGAAACAACAATTAAACCGGCGGTTACGGACGTGAGAGAGGGCTCTGAGAGGCCAGTTCCAAATGGATTTCTTTTCTTTCTGAGGCTCAGCCAAGTTTGTACGACCCGAGGGTTTGGTTGAACTGTTGTTAGGACCAACCACTGATCTCCTGGGGTTCTTGTTCACATAGAGAGATTCACTTAATGTCTCCACCTCCTTCAATAATTTACGGCTACTAGAAGGCTCCTCGCTGTTGACTTTACTCATTGCTGTACTTTGAAAACACTAAGAATCCAGAGGATGAAATGCAAACCTGCACAAAAGAAGTTATTAAGTGTCAGAGAAGTAGAAGAGATTCGTTAATCCACATGAGCTCGCATTAATATAGATAACCAAGCTAGTCAATTTATATAAATTTATTAAAAAATTCAAGTTTTTTTTGGTTTTTTTTTTGAGAGTCATCTATGTTCTTGCTTTCAACAAACTACTATTGGAATATAGATGTACATGTCACAATCTCAAATCAGTATCAGCTATCAAAAATCAGGAGGCGTCGTCTATCAGCTCTAGACAAACAATAAATAACTGTAGCGTTGACTTATTGACTTGTACACAAATCAGTTTTGGAAGAAAGAGACGTGACCTTTGGGACAAGCTTGAGGTGTCCAAGTGACTAAAACGAATATCACGACAACTTCTACAGATTTCCCCATGATTAACTTAAAATTACGAGTTATTCAGATAGATCCTATTCAGACAAATCAATCGGTGGCAATAAAATAGTCTACCTATGCAACCAAACATTACTGACTTCACGGGAGATATAAAAATCGAGAGAAAGCAAAGAAGACGTGAGGATTGAAGAAATAGAACTAACCGGCGCGTCTGGGGAATCACGGGTAAGTTGTCTCTGGGGAAGCTTGTAAGAAGATAAAATGGTGGAGACGAAGAACACAAGGAAGAATCCCTCTCCGATGTTTTTTTATTTCTTGTCTTTTTCTATTTTTCTCCCTTTATTTGATTTTCATTGAACTTTTTTATTCGACTACTTTATACTATTTCCTATAACCCACTCCAAATACTATTTTAGTGAAAGGTTACCCTCGTGTAAACCTTATTTTATACTTTTGACCAAATTTCTAAGAATTTAATCTCAGATCTAATTTATTAGAGAATGATATTGGATGTCTATATTTTAATTAGTTATAAAATCTATATAAAATCTACAAATCTAGAAAAAAATAGTGACTTCTTAAATATAACATGTGGATTTAAACTAATATATAAATTTAAAGATATCTTTTTTTAAAACCTTTGTATGTTTTAACAAAATAATTACAGAAAAATCTTATAAAAATTAGTTAAAAGACAATTTTCCAAAAAAATTATTCTGTAATGAAAAATTCTCAAAAAGATCTCACCAAAAGACAATAATACGAATCAAGAGACTCTTGTTAAAGTTTTCTCAAAGCAGATGACCGTATATTTTCAAAAAATTGTGAACAAGAGCTACTTTCGAAGGAAATTCAAACGTATAGTATGTAATCAAAAGTTAATATAAAGATAAGGGACTAAAATGTAAACAAAGAACAAAGGAAACAAAACTTAAAACCCTAACGCTTCCTTCATAGTTCATACGCCTCTTTCTTCTCCCCTAGAAAGAAGCTGCCGTCACATCCCTTCTTCCTCCCTCCGCAACAAACTCGAAAACAATGGTGAAACGGAAGCAAATCTCAGAGCCACAACAACAACAACAACCATCCCCACCAGAAGAAACCTGCAAATCCCTCATAAAGAAACTCGCCTCCTGCAAGCAAACAATCCGAGACCGTTCCCTCCGCACCCTCCTCCACACATGGCTCCCCGAACAAACCTCAGTCCCCGACGAAGACATGAAGAAGCTATGGCAAGGCATCTTCTACTGCATGTGGCACGCAGACAAGTCTGTCTACCAATCCGACCTAATCGACAGTCTCTCCTCTGCTCTACACTCCCTCCCTCTCCCTCTCGCTGTCCACTACTTCACCGTGTTTCTGTTCACCATGCGACGTGAGTGGTCACGCATCGATAGGCTGAGGTTAGATAAGTTCTACCTCTTGATACGCAGGTTCTTGCGCGGGTGGTTTGGTGTGATGAGTGGGAGCTCGTGGGATTTGGATTTGACGAGACGGTTGGTTGGTGTTTTGTTCGATGGGACGTTTCTTGCTGGGGACAAGTTTAATGGGAATGGTGTTAACTATCATGTTGCGTCGGTTTTCGTTGAGGAGGTTAGGGGGTTTCTTCCGGTGAGGAAGGAGGTTTTGGAGGTTCTGTTTGGGCCGTTTGTGATGGTTATTGGGGTTGTTAGTGATAAGGTTTTGGTTGGGAAGATTAAGAGTAATGTTTTTGATGAGTTTGTGAAGATGGGGAGGAGGTTGGTGGATGTTAGGAAAGATGGGGGTGGTGATGGTGTGTCTGAGGATGATGATGTTGTGGTTTTGGGGTCTATTGGTTTGTCTATGGAGTTTGGGAAGAGGTTTTATGAGATTGGTTCTTCTCCTGATTGTCATCAGGGGAATAGGAAAGTGATTTTTTCTCTTCATCAAGATTTTTTGCAGTTGGAGAAGGATATGTTGAGTTCTGGTGTTGTGGTTTCCATCACTGAAGGGACTCGTGACGATGAGGAAGTGCCTGAGCTGGTTCCTATGACTGGTGTGATTGGAGGAGAAGTGCCTGAGATTGTTGCAAATGGGTCTTCGAAGAAGAAGAAGAAGAAGAGTTTGAAGAAATGTTCAAAGTCTAAGAAGAAGGATGCTGATGATGTTGTTGTTGTCAATCATGGTGAGAAAGATGAGTCTGTTGACGAGACTATGATATCGGATCTTCGTCAGGAGTTTGAGAAGATTGCATCGGAGATGGGACCAGTGAGAGATGAGGTTGCAAGTGTCTGTGAAGAAGCAGAACCTGTTTCAGTACCCAAAAAGATGTCCAAGAAGAGGAAAAGAGAGAACAAAGGGGTTGTAGAGCAAGGTACTACTACTGTTAACAGAGATGCAGCAGAGAGGAGCTTACCTGGTCCGAGCAGTGAGAAGAGCTCAAAGAGAGTAAGATTCGCAATGAAGAACAATCTTGTGTGGAAGCCTCATTGCCCTCTACCTCCACAGGACTTGAGGTTGCCTCCGTCTGCTACACCGAGAGGAAGTGCTCTGAAGAAAGGAATCCCGGCTGGTCCAGTGAGGGAGTCTCCGAGTAGGAAAACAAAGAAGAAAGTGAAACCCAACACACGTAGGGGAGTCAAGTCAATCAAGAATATGAAGAAGAAAGTGTCTCCATGAAAAGGGGAATGTTGAGTTACTTGTTGGATTCCTTTGCTTGGTTTTCTTTCAATTTTGTTTTAGTTCCAACTATTTAATACAATTTCTAGATTCTGTTTGCTGATTTGAGTATTAAGAGAAACATGTTTGCCATCAAAAAGGAAGATTGTCACTAACTTAACAGTGAAGATTCTAACAAAACAGTGAAGATCAACTGTGTTTCTACTCCTCTCTTCATATCTCTAATTTGGCAAAAGTATAAGCTCGACTATGTATTAGGAATGTGCTTGAAGGAGCAAAGACACGTAGATAAGATGGTTCCAAACATCAGGAACTCCAGGAAGACACCAGTGGCTGCAATCCTGTTTCCTTGATGACACTTTTTTACCATCCATATTGATCTTACCGTAGATTGAAGGATGTCCATCTTTGCGGAAATTAGTCAGCTTTGTGACGTTTAGGAGAATCACTGGAACTTGCATCTCCTTAATGGCTTCCTCTACTATCTTCATTTTCAGAGGATAGGAATCGAGGATCGAACCTTTCTTTACTGGTTCCTTCTCCCCATTGCATGACCCTCCTGAGTCCCACTCACCTCCCCTAATACACAAATCAAACAAAATTACCTGATTAATTGATTTCGTTTGGTTTAAAAGTCTGAGAGGCAAACAGTAAACTAGATTGCCTCAACCTACTCGAGATGATGAATGTGACATGAACAGGTGAAACTCGTTTTCAGTTAGAATGAAAGACTTGAGGCTTACCGAAAATGTGCCGATGAGTATCCGCGGTAAAATACGAGCTGCTTTTGGGGATTCACATTTTGATCGATCCATTTAGCCCAAGTCTTCAACGCCCTTCTGTATGCTTCAGTCGCATCAAACTTGGGGTAGATGTAGTCACCTTCTTTGTAGTAGTTTTTCCTGCACTAGTTTTATTTACCAAGTCATTCACCATTACTAGCACCTCTTCCTTCTCTAGATAAATATGTCATTTAGAAAAAAATACACATGCACAATGGGATGCACCAGCAATATCAAACTTCAAGATGATAAACTCAGAAGATTTTGCAAGGTTTAACTAATTACTACAGATTTTAATAAATTCAACCCACATTTTGAAACAATGATATCGAGGTCTAGAAAGTAACTGATTAAGAATCAAACTGTCAAACATATACGAAGAAGAAAGAAAGAAGCATACCCTCTAGCTGTCTTTCCATGAACCCACCAATGTCCAGTGTTGAAGACAAGAATATTGGCTCGCTTCCATCGACCATTTGACTTGTCAATCCGATCAATCGAAAGAGTAGGATTAGTATTTCCCTGAGCATTAGCTCTAACTCCTTCCCTCACAAGAAAATGTGACCTCACAAACTCTACTGTACAGTTGTAATCCTGTCACACATTGTCAAAACAAAATACCCTTAAACTTTATCAAGACATAAAGATACATATAAATACTTCTCTCAAAGAAACAAAAAAACACCTATGAACAGAAGAGTGAACTTACTTCAAACTTGAACACAAAGTAGCCTCTTCCTTTAGTAATATTGTGGCCATGAACCTCGTACATCTTACTCTTATCAGATAAACCCTCTCGAAGAACGCAAAGCATTGACTCAAATTGGTTACGGTTCATTGAGTCCCCAACCAACATCAAACTCTTACCTCGTAGCTTCACTAAAAAATCTGTAGCGTTAAACCTAAATTTGGAAAAAAATAACTTTATTACAATCCATTCTACTAATCCTATAATCTAAAGTGTAACAATAATTGCTCTTACACACATGAAACCACATATAGAAACTTTATATGGTTACAGATTCATTTATCTATGCATCCACACTTATAGTATAACACTTAACTTCACAATCAAAACTACTAAGAGTATTGAAATTGGAGAAGCATCGGTACCGTGGAAGATCGCAACCGTCAGGCTTCCATCTCCAATGGAGATAATCGGAATCGCGTCTCCCGTTCCTCTGGCAATCAAAAGCTTCATCAACATAAGGACACGATCCAGGCTGATAGAGTGGATACTCGTCGTCATCTTTGATCCACGATCCCGTGTACAAATCGCAGCCTCTCAACTTCTCAACAACCGCCTTCTCCGCAGCAGATTCGGCATTGTTCTCCTCAACGGACTCTTCCTTGCGGCGCGAGGCTCCTTCATCTTCCAGTTCCGGATCAGGTTTCGCGGTGAGGTCAACGCCGTTGGATTCTTCAACAGCTTTGAGGTCAGTGTTTACCGCGACGGGATCGTCGTCGCGGCGCGAATCGGCTTCTTCCTGGTTTTGATTTGTATCAGCGTCGGGATCGTGAGGTTTTCCGTTGAGATCTTTGGAAGGGAGTGGGTCGATTGGAGGGAGGTGGAGTGAGGGAGGACGTGGATCGGGGAGAGGGATGTCGGCGTGGAAAGGGGAGAGGGAGGGTTCGAGAGTGCGTTTGGTGAAGAGGAAGACGCTGCATAGGAAGAAGACTATGAAGAGTGAAGTTGAGAGAGTGTAGGAGACGATGGTGCGAGGGAACGAAGAAGAAGTCGACATTGTGCTTCCAAGATCAATGATTATTTCCATTTTTATTACTTCAGTGATATTCTCACTATTTTAGATGAAAATTTAATATATTTTGATATTTGTGACCAATAACTTTTATAAAACTAATGTTTCTTCTTTTATTTTAGTTGGTGTTTATAATTTTTGCATAAAGATTAAGAAAATGTAAAATTTTAAACAATTTATCTTGGTTACATAAAACTAGCATTAAATAAAACTAGTTTAATCAGTAAAAATGCAGTTTTTTCGTAACTGGTCACAAAATTCAAATAACATTAAATTGTACGTAAAATAGGGAGAACATCATTTATCTAGCAACAATAAAAAATTAAGAGAATATTTTTAAGATTTGTGCAAAAACCTTAAACGCTTAAACATCAAGTATCAAGTATGAAACATAGAGAATAGCATATAACAGCTATTTTATGTTACTATTCTGCAAATCTAATCAACTGGCCAACTTTTACTTCGTAGCTAGTTTTATTCCTCTTTTACGGTTTTATGCGCTTTATCATCTCTCATTTCTCATATCTGCAGAGCTAGGAACTTGTTAGCAGAGTCCCTAAGACCATCTTCAACAATGACACCCAAACATTAAATTTGGTGTAAATCAATCTCTGACAAATATAAAAATTGATACCATCCTATCAAATTTGGTGTAAAATGAATAGTGTTACACCAAATTGGTGTAACACTATTCATCACATCAAATTTCAAAATACATATTTTATTACATTTCTTTTAATAAAATCTTCAATAACTATTATTAATTAGTTTAAATTTATAATTAAACCTAAATATAATGTATTTTTAAAACACAATTAGGTTTTTCTCTATTTTCTACTAATAAAATCACTAAATTTCATATTGTAAGAAAAAAAATTATAATATATTACTAACTAATACAAATTTTATTAAAATATATTTATTATTTTGTTATGTACCTTTCATTTTTAATAGTTTTTAATTTTGATCATAACTAATATTTATATATAATAAACATATAAATATATAATATTGGTAAACCAAAAATAAATGTAAATAAATTTATAAACATAAAGTACAATATTTTAACAAATATAATAAATAGGTGTGATAAAATAATTATATATCACTTACAAATAATTAAAACATAAAAATTATTAAAACAAAAGAAAAATATATAATATTACTTTTGGTGTAAAATTTGGTGTTGTTGTTAGAGATGACAAAAGAAATTTGACACCAAAACATCAAATTTGTTGTAATTTTGACACCAAATTTAGTGTCATTATTGAAAATACCTTAATAAATAAAGTAAAAAATAATAATATTCTTTTTTTCATGTAGATCAGTTCCGTATCTTCGGAATGACTCAAACTTATAACATCTCTTGATCTTTATAATGGGTGTTGAACTGTTGATAAAAAAATGTTACTACTCTGCTTCAAGCCTTTAACTAGGATGTATAAATAAACTGTGGAAATTATAAAGTGGAGAGTCTGAAGATGTACGAGTCCAAAAAGACTCTTCACTCAAATTAAACTTTGTTTTTGCCTTATCTTAAGTAATTCACAACTAACTTTAGGTAAATAGTTAGGCCGCATTAATTCCGTACATTTTTTCATTACTCCATTACCCTCCCTATGATCGACCTTCATTTTCCGCCGCCGCTACAACCGTTCTATAGACACCGTGACCACCACTTTAATGTCGCCACCATCGTGGCATTTATACATTTTGATATCTTTAGTTTATATATATAGGTACTATACAAAATTGTATCCTTCTTCATACACATCTCTTTTGACCCCCAACGAAATGTATCTCTTTCGACCCATATGGAAAGCTTATTCTTTCTCCTCTTATTCTCCTATTATCTCGACCCGTGTGATGAATTGTATACTACTTTCTGTTTTAATTTCCTTTGTCTACCTTATCATCTCCCTTTCCGTATCAATGCTTCAGCCTAAAGACGCTATAAATGCCTACTTCTCATCTTCTAGAGATCAACAACCTCAGAGCCTTACAGAGATCGATCACATTGTCTTTGGGATCGGATCGAGCTTGAACTCGTGGCCTGAACGTAGAGATTATGTTAAGCTTTGGTGGGATACTCAAAGAATGAGAGGGTGTGTCTTTGTTGACCAACCTCTTTCGGCTTTGGAGAACAGCACAGATTCTCATCTTCTCCCTCCTATTTGTGTTTCTGAAGATACGTCACGGTTTAAGTAATTATGCAAACTATTTATATCATCACTAGATTCTGAGGGTATATATATATATTTTAAAAATTAATATTTATATATATTTTTATAATCATATTTGTGTTTAATCATTTATCAATATATATAATATAAAAGATTTAGTGTTATTAATATAAAAGAATAATACCTAGTTGGACTAAACATTTATCAACTGGTTATGATCTTGTTTTAATATAATTAGATTATAGTAAAGTAGGTGTAATCTGTGGTATTAATTACTCCATGTTTCAAATTTATTTAGGAACTTTAAACTCATTTCTTACATTTTTAAAACTGTTAACACATGAGTATAAAGCTTATATATATAACTTCTAAAAAATTTCATTACATCCAACAAATTATACTTTCCGTAATTTAAGTTGACATTTGATTAGTAAAAATCATATAATAGTAAATAATAATTCAATTTCACTATAAGAATAATGATAATAATAAGTTTTACAGTTTTATTCTTTTAGTTTTTTCTTTCTAAATAGCGTATAGCAAAATTAAATCGACCAACAAAAATTATTGATTATGCAGGTACACATGCAGAGGCGGCGACAGACGCGCGATTAGAATCGCGAGGTGCGTTTTAGAAACCGTAAGGATGTTCAATAACTCCTCACATGAAGTAAGATGGTACGTGTTTGGAGACGACGACACTATATTCATCCCGGAAAACCTCGCAAGAACACTCTCTAAATACGACCACAGATCATGGTATTACATAGGAGCTGCCTCAGAGATTTATGAGTCTAACAGGGTGTTTGGAAACGACATGGCGTTTGGCGGTGGAGGAATCGCTTTAAGCAGTTCGTTGGCTAACGTTTTAGCTAAAATTTTCGATTCTTGCATCGAACGGTATCCATATTTGTACGGAGGAGACGCTAGGATTCATGCTTGTGTGCTTGAGCTTGGAGTTGGTTTGTCTCACGAACCTGGCTTCCATCAGGTTTTACAAATATTGCAACTTTTTTATTATACATAGTTATTCATTTTTTTGTTCAAAAACTGATTAAATGTATTTATTTATGCAGTTTGATTTGAATGGAAATGCATTGGGAATATTGACGTCACATTCAACGAGACCATTGGTGTCTCTACATCACATGTCCCACCTTGATCCACTTTTCCCAAACTCAACCACTTTCTCCGGCTTCCAACACCTCTTCTCCGCCGTCGAAATTGATCCTCTCCGTATATTGCAACTCTCTGTTTGCTACGACCGTCAGTACTCTTGGACCATCTCTGTCTCCTGGGGATATACTGTTCAGGTTAATTAATATCGTTTTGCCATTTAACGTTAGCTAGAAACGTAACTTAGTGCTACTAAATCAAATTAATTTGTTGTTTCAAATGTTTAGATTGAGAGTAGGCATATGTTTCTACGAGATGTTTTGCGAACACAAGAAACGTTCCGACCATGGCAAAATTTCGGCGGGTTGGCAAGTGTGTACACATTCAACACAAGAGAGTATGATCCTGATCCTTGTAAAAGACCGGTCACTTTCTTCATGGAACATGTTTCCTCTAATCCCGGTGATGGAACTATTACAAGTGTGTATAAGCAAGCTTACGAGAATTGCACGTATGATCCCATTTCATCGCCTCGCAAAATTGAAGAGATTAGAGTGTTCTCGACAAGATTCGATCCCGATATCGAACAAGTAAGGCCATCCACATTAGTGAACTGGGTAGGGGGGGTTCATAGCTATTTTTTAATTGTTTTTTTTCTTTTTTTCGTTTTTAAAAAATAAAATAATAAATAACAATCTAACCAATCGCGGGCCGCCACGTGTCGTGGGGCCCGCGAAACTGACATGAATCCGGTTCGTTGCAGTGAACTCTCACGGGGTGGGTTCATAGAATTTATTGTATTTTATTTGTTTTTTCTTGGATATTGGGCCTGTGAACCCCTTAAAAGCTTTCAATGGGCATGCCCTAAGTAAGCCTATCTTTTCTTATTTTTTATTTTTTGGATTTTATATAATAAAAAGATTGTGTTGAAATGTCGGGCATATGTAAAATCATTTGCTAGATTAGTAAATCTCTGTTCAAATGTCAATCACTAAAGTTTTCCCTATAACATTATAAAGTAACACTATATAGATAATACTAGTATTTGTAAATATGTTACATTTTTATTTATTTTACTTATCTTAGTTTATTGTTTTGGATGATGTAGTTGAAGGCTCCGAGAAGACAGTGTTGTGATATATTACCTACTTCTTCAACCGATGTAAAAGTAATGGAAATTGGAATCCGAGAGTGCAAAGAAGATGAGCTCATCTATATGCATCCCTAGGACCCCCTTTTGTTTTCATTGCTATATAAGTATATCGTTGCAAAATAGTTTCTTATTAATTAATGTATACTAAAATATTAAATTGTTAATCAGCTTGTTGTTTTTCAACTTTTGAGGTTTGAGGTTTGAGGTTAACTATTTTCACGGGCTTTACATGTTTTATGAAACGAATGTATTTTGAGTGGAGAATATATGAATATATGCAACAGTAAAATAAGTAATATAATCCTTATCTGGCCAAGGGTCAAACATAAGTGTAGAGAAGAATGAATCAGTGAACACAAGTTGGCAAATTATGAGGTGGATGATATACTACTAGAGAAACTACTAGTGTATACTACAAGGTTAAAATCAGTGAACACCAAATAGTATACAGTGAAACCTCTATAAAGTATAAACTAATAATGTTGGGACCATACCAAAATTTTAATTTTTTATTAATTTAGAGAGATATTAATTTATCGATATACTAATCGAACCAAAAAGTCAATTTAATCTTATAAAATTATATTATTTTATAAAGATATTTAGTGTATATTAATTTAACGAGTATTAATTTATAAATGTTCTACTGTACTAGTAGTGTTCTCCTAATCATTTTATTAAATATTTTAGTGAATACATATAAGTTCTGCAATATACTGCTTATAACTATTTTAAAGAGATAAAGTAAACATTTATATTTTAATGTTAACTAATATATATTTATAATTTAGATTTGAGAGGTGAGTATTTTGGAGAGAGGGATTTAAATTTTTATAAATATATAATTGATGCTTAAAATTTTAAAGAAATTTTTATGGCAAAACATTTGCAAAAGTATTATACTTCTTAGTTTTTATTATCTAATGAACTACTATTACGATAGCATTTAGAATATGCAAATGCTTTTTTCTCAATGTTTTTCGATGAAACTTTTGGTAAAACATTTACAATTAAACTATTTTAAATTAATATATATATAATTAATTTAGTGTACTTTATAAATAAATTTATATTTATATGCGAACATAAATTTATATTTTCAAAATTAAAATTTACAATTAAATATTTGTATTTTTTAAAAGAATAAAATTTAAAACTAAACTATAATTTAATATATAAATAAATTTGGTAATATATTTTCAATAAAATAAAGATAAATTTCTTAGGATAGACCTACAATTTTTTTTTGGAGTCAATTAAATGAATATACATAAAATGAAGCAAAATTAGGTAAGTACCTAAAAGAAAAAAAAAGTAGTTTATTGTAGAATCTAAGGCTTCAACTTCCGATTCTATCCTTAAACCCATCTTTTTTTCTTTTTTTTTTTTTCTGAAGGAGGCAGAGAAGGAAGAAGGCGGCTTGGGTGATTTCGGGGAGGAAGAAGAGGAGGAGGAGGGGGGAGGAGCATGACAAGGGAGGGGGAGGGGGACGGGGAGGGGGACGGGAAGGAGGGAGGAAGAAGAGACGAGAGAGAAGACAATAGGGGTATTAGTAGAATTAACAAAAAAAAATAATGTTTACGGTATTTATCTAATATCGGGTATTTCAATGGAATCTAATTTCCCTTTTTTTGTCACAAATATAAAATTTAAAAATAAAAATGACCAAAATAGAGTTAAATGTGTTATTAAAAGAAGTAAATATATATTTATATCCATAGAGTTAATTAATCTAGACATTAGGGTTTAGAGTTAAGATGTGAGGTTTGAGGATGTATTTAAGGTTTGGGGTTTAGAGTTTAGAGTTAAGGAGTGAGATTTTGGAGATAGAATTTCAATTTTTTAAAAAAAATTTAAAATAAATATTAATTATCATTTTAGTTTTTGAGATTTATTTTTGTGACAAAAATTTAAAAATTTTATTTAAGAAAATTGTCCTAAAATGAACTATAAAAATTATAAATATATTTATAATTATATATTTTAAATAAACTTATTATATATTATATATTAATTTTATATATTTTATTCACTGCTCTACTAATCATTTTAATAGATACATTAATAAGACCATCAGCATTAACAATCAAGGCCAAATAATTTGCACATTTGAAAATAAAAAATTAATTTACGATAATAAAAATTAAAAAGTTATATTGGAAAACATGTTATTTAGTAATAATAATATTTTTTTGCTTTATTATTTATTAAAATAATTATTTATGTTTAATGAAACATCTTTTAGCCTGTTTTTTGCGTTCTTTCGATAAAAAAATCTTATTTTAATACTTTTAAGATAATGACTCAATAAATTTTTTAATTTAGACAACTACTGATAATTATTTAAGTGTAGAGAAATATGTACACGAAAATATTGTCTTCCTTTTTAACATAAACTTCCTCTTACATAATTAATTGGATTCAGATTTTTTTTCCATTATTTATTTGGGAAGATAATTAAGGAGAAGAAAAAAGAAAAATCAGATTTTAGTCATGTTAAATTGTGGAAGGAAAAAAATCGATTTATTATAAATCCGACGCTTGTTCTTCCGTCTTCTGTTTCATTATAATCAGACTCGTCTTTCTTCCTCCGATCTTCTCTCGCTTCGACTCTTCTTAGGGTTTTCGTGTTCAAATCGATGGCTACCTTAGATAGCGACGTAAACATGATCCCTGCGGGGGAATCGTCGAGCTCCGCTGTGGCTTCTTCGTCGAGCAAGAAGGCGAAGAGATTCGAAGTGAAGAAGTGGAGCGCCGTTGCTCTTTGGGCTTGGGGTATGCGCGATTCAATCCTCCTTTTATTCTATCTGATTGAATATATGATTTGATCTTTCGTTTATCGGTTAGCTAGGGTTTTTTAATTGATTGATTCTTATGATTCTTGTGGTTTGATAGATATCGTCGTGGACAATTGCGCCATCTGCAGAAACCACATCATGGATCTCTGTAAGTTAAATCGATTCATATGTAACGATGATGAATCAGGAGATTATTATTGAATGGTTAGGTTAAACCTAGTTCTTGTGTGTGTTTGTTTGTAGGCATTGAGTGTCAGGCTAATCAGGCCAGCGCTACGAGTGAGGAATGCACTGTTGCTTGGGGTAAATTTCGTTTATTCTCAACGCCTTTGATTGATTGCTGCAATCTTTGCTTCTTGTTTGAAACTTGATTGAACAAAGACTCTGTATGCAATTACTGTTGTGTGAATCAATGTTTAGTATATCTTAGGGTGCGTTTACATTGAATTTTGCTTGTTTGGTTAGTCCACTTACGTGTGTATATATCTCTATGATTGAAAAGTTGAATGATAAACTCAATGAATACTTTGTTGCATTACGTATCTCTGTATCTTAATTGCCTTATGTAATGAGGAGGATGGATCTTGATAGCTGAAAAATTAGATCATGAAACGTTTTCATGTGGTAGAGAGAATAGGAAGTTTTCGATAAGGGATGTATTGCAGAGAGTCGTCACCTTCTTGACGGCCTTATCGTTTATATATGTGTGTATTTAGGCAAGTCAAAGTTGATATATATATAAGATGTTAGTGTCTTGCTTAACTAAAGATTAACAAATGTTGGTACTTGCAGGGGTTTGCAACCATGCTTTTCACTTTCACTGTATCAGCAGATGGTTAAAGACTCGTCAAGTTTGTCCTTTGGGTATATGTCTTTCTCTGTTTTAAAGTTTTTTTTTTGTTTGCAGTTATTTTGGTCTGTTTGTTAATATTGCTCTTGTATTCAACAGATAACAGTGAGTGGGAGTTCCAGAAATATGGTCACTAAATCAGCTAACCGCACCAGCAGATTTGTGTATCATGTTCATTTGGCTGCTGCACTTTCTTTTTTTTCCTTTATTCGCTAGTTGTGAAAACAGTGTTTTACTTTCATTGAACCCCTTTATCGTTTTGCTTTGGATAATGTCTTTAATTTTCACAAAAAAAAAAATCTACATACATAAATTGTGTTTTCTTACTGTTCGGCCTCTTGAGCGTTCTTTTACCAATTCCCACACATGCACACAGTTATTACTAAAACCATAAACAGTAAATCTTTATAATATCCAACTGTCGTAATTGGCTTATCTGTAAATTCTATGGGGTATGAGACTATGAGCTCTGCTTTCATGCTTTATGAAGCAAACATTGCGAAAACATTTAATGACTCTTGTTATGGACCTTGCTTGATCCATCTTAGAGCATTATTTTATTAAAGCTTTGAAATATAATATAATAATAGTCAATAATCTAAAATCAAAGCAACTTGTGTTGGTTGGCTTCATATCGGTAGGGTATGCAATCCAAGTTTTGCAACACTAAAGAAAAACGGATGTAATTTTAAATTCCATTAAAAAAAGCAAACTCCAAACTCAACTAAGTTCGACTTCAAAATCTCATTACAAAAGCGAAACTGAGATCTTATAGATGGATGATATACATATAAGTAATCTTGACTATTGTCCCACTCTGTAACAAATAGTAGAGCGTTATAACTAATGAATTGAATGAAGATAGCCTAAGAATCTCAAGAATCTCAAGAATCTAAAAAAAAATCAAAACAACTTGTAGATAGGCTTCAAATCAGTAGGCTCATACAACCCAAAGTGCTGTTCTGTTCCAACTGGTTTCTCATTCTCGTTAAAAGTCGCAAAAATAAACCCACTGATACCACAGTTTGGCCTCTTAGGCGTCCCTTTACCGCTTCTCACATGCTTAACAAAGTTTCCATTGTACATAGCAGCTATCTCCGGCGTTGTCAAGTTCCCGTTACCAGCAGAAGGCCATCCCGTCTCCGACACCACCATAGACACATCCTTCACGCCTTCCTTCTCCATTGCCCATACAAACGCGTCGAAAATAGCGTCAAACATGTTTGTATACTGCATTGCCCCGTCCTCCACCACTACAGTTTTGGCGTTGAAGGTTGCATAGTCGATGCTTATGTTCACGGGGTTAGACGCGTAAGCGAAGTAAGGGTAGATGTTGACGAGGATTGGTGTTTTTGTTTCAGACAAGAACTTTAGCACTGGTACGAGTTGTTCACGTGCTTGTGAAGTAAACATTCCAGAAGAAGGTGGATAAGACTGTCCGAGATTAGACATAGCTACAACAGTGGTGACAGAGATGGGAAGACTCTTGGACTTGACGAGGTTGGTGAGAGACATTATAACGGGAAGGACTTGAGGACCGATAGGTCCAGGGATGACTTCGTTACCTACAGTAATAAACGTGATGTTCACGTCACCTAAGTAAGGCTCAATGTTAGTTGTGAACCATCCCTTAACAGCTTCTTCGCTGGCTGCAAGAGCAGCCAAGTCTTGGTCCTTGACACCTACAGTGAGTTCGATTTCGTGGTGACCACGTAAAGCGTTGAGAACCTCTTTGTTTGGGTCGAAGATTCTGATTTTAGTAATGCCGATTGACTTGTATAGGTTGATGGCTTCGGATGGAGACGGGAGGTTGTCTCCGAGGAGACCGTAGTTTAAGCCGACGTTGACGTTCGTTGTTGTTGGTGTTGTTGCCATGTTTACGGGACCGTGGTTTTTAATACTGAATAGAGTTGCTATCCATGAAAGTAAGAAGATGAAAAACTTTGTAGGTGGACAGAGACAGTCCATATTGAAAGAAACCGTAGACGACAAGCTTGTTTCTCTTGTTAGGTTTCGTTTCTGAACAATATGTTTTAGAGATATGAAGTAATATATACAGATACTTGATATTAACTTTCTATATTGTTGATATCACTAAAAATGTAAAGTTGCAAAAACAATATTGGTGTTTTTCCTTTCACCAACTATAATTTCCATTTCTCTCTAGATGATGAGTTTACATGAAGAAACTGAAAATAAGTATATCTTTTTTTATCATAAATATAAATTATATATTTTTCAAAACGGTATACTGAGAAGTGAGAACGTGAGTTATCCAAAAAAAAATACAATCGTTTTGATGCCTCGAAACTTGGCTTTAAAGATGCCGTGATCTGTGTTCTAACGGGATGGCACAGGATAATTCACATTATAAAAGAAGAAATGTTAAATATTTGTTAGTCAAAAAAAAAGAAAATTTGTTGAATGTTTGTTTCCGTGTTATTCTTCAGGCAAGACATGGAAGACAATGTAGTGTTCGCTTGATCTCACCCCAACTTATTACTGGTGGAGAAATAGAACTGACTTCGCGCTTTTACCAATAGCAGTTGTGGACAAGGGTCGGTTACTGCTTCAACTTCAAGGCCGTTCTTGGATGGACCCACTGGTGATATATATGATCTCCATACCAAATCGTATGATTTATTTTTCCAACCTAAAGGATCCACTGGTTTTGCTTATTACTTCGAAAGTTCATTCTTTTGTTTTATGAAACTAGTCGCTATCTTTGTACTATACCATTGTTATTTAAAAATTTAATCTTCAATTGTTATAGACGGTGGTTTTTTCTCCTCATCTTTTTTCTTTCTTGGATCTTTTTTTGGCTCTTGTAGCTAGTTGGTGGTGCACTAGTAAGTTAACCAACAGTTTATGCTAGTTGATATGAAACACAGTTGTATGCACCTTTACATATTGCAGCAGTACTCAACTTTTATCGCTATCTATACATAGCTATTTGATGACATTTGCATATACATTCATATGGTAGAAAAGTTATCATACAAGCATTAACTCCATTTTTATTTGGGTCGATTAGGTTCATTTCATTCCATTTCTATTTGCTAGTTAAACTACAATAGAAACTCTATAAATTAATACTCAATAAATTAGTTTGCATCATAAATTAATAATTTTCTTCATTCCAAGATGAATCGGTTCAAATATAACATAAATCGATAAAAAGTAAGATATTAATTGTTAGAAACTTTTATATAAATATATAATCAAATTAAAATGATAAATTAATAATTTATATATATGTATATATTTTATATATTATAAATATGATATGATATTATTTGTTTTATATTTATAACAAAATTGGCTTTATATGTTCTTAACACTTAATATATTTTGAGGATTTAGTAAAATTATATCTAAAAGCACATTAAAAATTTTGTGAAACATATTTTCCTTATTTTCTTTAGTTTTCCATTTATCCAAACAAAAAATTGTAAATCTTTGAATCAACAAGACACAAAACAATACAATAGTGATATAATAATAAATCAATTAATAGAGACTATCATGTATTGACGAAGCTCGTTTGGGCCCATTTAAACATTAACTGGGCCGGCTCTGTGGTGTTCTCATCTGGATCTGCGTTGTAAACTTGAAAAGCTCTTTTTCTCCTCTCCGACAAGAAAAGAGAAACAGATAGAAAGTAGCAAGCAAAGCGCGTTCGATTTCTACTTCTGTTTCCCGATTCAGATAGAGAGCGAGAGAGGGAATGGTGACGTACGTGAGCGCGTTGTTTTACGGAGTAGGAGGGATAGTCGTCGCAGGCGTGGCACTTCTCGTTGCCTTCCAGGAGAAGCTTGTCTACGTCCCTGTTCTTCCTGGTTTATCCAAGTCATATCCCATCACTCCCGCTAGGCTTAATCTAATCTACGAGGATGTTTGGCTTCGATCGTCAGATGGTGTTCGGCTCCACTCTTGGTTCATCAAAATGTTCCCTGATTGTCGAGGTCTTTTCTAGATTCTGCTCTTCGATTTAAGTATCTTTGTTTTCTCGGTAGATCTGTGAATTTCGGAAAGGTTCTGGCTTTGAGGGAAATTTAGGGTTTTGATGTCTTTTTCTTTAGACCCACTTGAGAGTTGAGACATTTTTGCTTTCTAAGTAGCTCGGAACTCATCTCGTCAGCTACCCAAAATCTAAAAATTGAAACTTGACTAGTTTCATTTCTCTTCGTTGATAGTAGATTAGCTTTGGTTTGATCTAGTTCTGAGTGTTGATGTTTGCCCCATGCAGGTCCAACCATTCTATTTTTCCAGGAGAATGCTGGGAGTATCCTTGTTTCAGAGCCATTTCTTTGTGTTTGGTTGATATGAGAGCTTAGGGTTATCTTTGTATGTTTGCTGTAATGAGATTAGTGTCTGGGTTGCCTATTTTACATTCAATGCCTTGTAACGGCCTTTACCTTAGAACCACAGATATTGCTCATCGTCTAGAGATGGTTCGCATCATGATACAAAAACTCAAGTGCAATGTATTCATGCTTTCATATCGCGGGTCAGTTTCTTATCTTTAGACTTGTATTTCTAGTCAGAACATTGGGTGTGTTTGTTACGAGATAGTTATTTAACTTGCTTGCATTATAACTGATTGATTTTTCCGTGCAACCAGCTATGGGGAAAGTGAGGGTTATCCGTCACAGCAAGGAATCATAAAAGATGCTCAGGTTTGCTTGTCTCTCTCTAAGTCTATCCATATATCCTTAAACTGTTCTTCTCTTGTGCTTCCATTTTCTTGCCTTTTACTTTTTTTTTCTAGGCTGCGTTGGATCACCTTTCTCAAAGGACAGACATTGATACTTCTAGAATAGTTGTGTTTGGAAGGTCCCTTGGAGGAGCTGTTGGAGCTGTGCTTACCAAAAACAATCCTGAAAAGGTGTTTCTTTAATATTCTTATTAGCAGCATGTCACGAGTTAATAAATTATTGGCTAGGAGAGCTAGTATGAGTTAACCTTCTTATCAGTATCTTATGGAGATTCTTGTTAGTGTTGGAATATATTATTTATGATCTTTGGCATATGACCTGAATTCTGACTGTGCAAAAATTTCTAGGCTAATTCTCTTAATTAGCTTCCAACCACTCCTCACCAGTACTAATCTACTAGGTCAGTTCTGCGTGATTTTAATTATTTATAGTTTTGTTCACCTGGCAATAACAAAAACCTAGTTGTATGGGGATTCATTCGAGCTTTGTTATTGGCTTTCCCTATATATACTGTAATATGCAAAAAGAACCGTGTTCTTTTTTTTCGGAGTGTTTCTTGGAAAATGATTCTATAGATACCTTGACTACTTCATATTTTTTTCCTGTTCTTATCTTGTAGGTTCTGCTTCCAGTATTACATTTGATCTCTACACGTCAAAAAATTGTATGTTTACCATCTCTACACTGTCTTTATATAGGTATCTGCGTTGATTCTGGAAAATACATTCACATCCATTCTCGACATGGCTGGTGTTTTGCTACCCTTCCTGAAGTGGTTTATTGGAGGAAGTGGTACTAAAAGCCTGAAACTTCTTAATTTTGTTGTGCGCTCCCCCTGGAAGACAATTGATGCTATTGGTGAGGTAAGAAGCTATTTAGACTCTTGCATATGAATCCTTTTCGTTTACAGTTTGCATACGCCATTGAAATGACTCAAATAAGCAGATTACATTAGTATACATTAAAGAACACGCTGTCATAAACTTTGATACTAGAAAATGTGTTAGTAGCTGATTCTGTAGCAGCTCACTGATAAGCTGATCTTGAAACAAGAACAGGTCAAACAACCAGTACTTTTCCTCTCTGGACTGCAAGATGAGATGGTCCCTCCATTTCACATGAAAATGCTGTATGCGAAAGCGGCTACACGTAACTCTCAGTGCACATTTGTGGAATTTCCAAGTGGGATGCATATGGATACGTGGCTGACTGGTGGTGACGTTTACTGGAGAACGGTCATGCAGTTTCTTGCAAAGCATGCGCCTGAGGAGAGGAAACCCGAAACAGGTAATATTATCTCTCACGATATTTTGTTTTATCAATGCTTCTTGATAGATTTTACTCCCAAAATAGAACTCTAGGCTTGACGTTTGTCTACTGATCTGACAGGAAGGTAACTAGCTGACGAAGCTGTGCGTTAGAGGAAGTTTTCGACTCAGTTAGCTCCTAGTGCGACCTGAAACGTTTAGTATCTTTATAAGAATGTGTGTGGGTATGTTGCATTTTGGGATTGAGAGATACAACTTGTTCTGAGAGTAAGATGCTGGATAAAGGAGCCTGTGGGAGATGGCAAATGTACGTTAATCATATGCATTTTTGCGTTGTTTCAGTTTTGATTTCTTCTGTTTTTCTGGTTATTTAACTGTTGGTGTCTTCACTTATGATAACTAACCCTTCCCTCTAAAATGATAATTGCTTTGTAGATGATTGAGAAAGTGCAAAACACTGGTTATATGATTAAATCTCGAATTTGTTGTTCAAGTCTGGTCTATGATCTATTATTTTCTAGCAATGCAGAAAGAGATGAACTTGATTACTATAACCAAATACCACTGAACGAGCATTGAATTCGAACTTAAGATATATACACTTGTAAAAGACTCATTTGGATCCATCCAAAGGCAACGGATAATGAATGTGATTTCGATCTCCCATGCAGGTACAAGTTTCATATTGCAAGCCATTTATATGAAGCTTGGTCACATTTATATTTTAACATCATCTTTTTACTAGAGACATGGATGGTGTATCTGTTGACCAAAAAAAAAAATGGTGTATCAATTATAAAAAAGAAAAAGAAAAAGGAGGGTGTATCAATTATTATCAACTTACAAAGAAGTGTTTGACGTGTGACTAGACAGGGCGTGTCACTGTCCACGGAGTTTCTTTTCGTTCTCCATTCAAGATTATTTGTTTTTGTTCTTGTATTTAATTTTGCTGCTTTATCATCACTTACTTTTAAAAAAAAAGACTCAAACTTGAGTGCCGCGTCTGTTAGAGAGGAAGATGGAAGAAGGAGGAGGAGGAGGAGGAGCGCAGTACAAACCTCGAACCGTGGAAGAAGTCTTCCGAGACTTCAAGGGCCGTCGAGGTGCCATCCTCCGAGCTCTCACCACCGGTCTTTCTTTCTTTCTTCTTTCTCTTGTTTACTTTTTAAAGAAGTTTAAATCTTTTCTTCTGGGTTCTAAATTTTGCTTTCACTAAGATTGTTTCGTGCATACTTCAGTTTCTTTTTTTATTTGAACGATATTGCTCTAGTGACTATGTTGTGTTGGTGGTGCTTACTTCTCGGTGATTTAAGAATAATATTCTGATTGAGTCACTTTTTTTTTTTAATTTTACAGATGTGCAAGAGTTTTTTCAGCAATGCGAACCTGGTTAGTGTTTTTCTCCCTCTCTCTAGCATTAGATATATACATTTGAGTCAAGCTGCTTCCGTTGTCACCCATTTTTTCACTTCTTGGTTCCCTCTAGGCTTTAAATCCTTTCAATGCCTTATGGTCTCTCGTTTTAGAAGCTTCTTTTTGTAGTAATTCCTTTAACTTTTTGTCTGGTTTGCGGAATTGACAGCATGGTAACAAACAGAGTGTTAATATATAATCGTGACACTGAAAGTTACATTATCTTGCTTTTCTGCTTAATTTTCGTTTGGTACTGGTGACTTGATTATATTGAATATTTGATCAATGTTCTTTCTAGTTTTCTAATCTGGTCTCCCATAGTTTTCGCCTTTGCTGCTGTTATCTTTATTTACTTCTTGCTTTAGGGCTTCGGTATCACAACCAACCACACATGGTTTCTTTATTAGTTAAGAGACGCTATATGCTGAGTCTTGACTGTATTGCCAGAGTATCGGTCTCTGTGAGTATTTCATGTCGTAACTTCTGTGCTAGTTGACAAATGTATGACTTTAATGACATTTCAGAGAAGGACAATCTTTGCTTGTATGGATTCCCGAATGAAGTGTGGGAAGTGAACTTACCAGCTGAAGAAGTACCTCCAGAGCTCCCGGAACCTGCACTCGGCATCAACTTTGTCAGAGATGGAATGCAAGAAAAAGACTGGCTTTCTCTCGTTGCTGTCCACAGTGATGCTTGGTTGCTTTCTGTCTCCTTTTACTTGGCTTCAAGATTTGGTTTTGATAAAGCTGATAGGTATCCCTTTCTTTCTTTCATTATTTATATGCGTTTTTCTTCAAACCAATTGGCATAATGTCTCTAGCATTTACACACTAACCAGTGCACTTGCTAATTCAGGAAGCGCTTGTTCAACATGATAAATGAGGTTCCTACTGTATTTGAAGTTGTAACTGGAACTGCGAAAAACCAAACAAAGGAAAAACCTTCTTCAGCAAATCAAAATGGCAACAGATCCAACTCAAATTCAAAAGTGGTAAGATTCATGCTGTCCTCAAACCAAACTAAAACACTCTAAGATGAATTCTATAGCCTATGTTACTCTCCCAAACCCTTTCCCCTGGCATAAGATATCTCTTAGGTTTGAGGTATAACAAAGGTGGGCAGTCTTCAGTTGTAATCGTTGTATCTCTGATTAACAGGAATTCTAGAGACAAGCTGTAACGAAATGGCCAAGCTACCTCCAAGTTTTCGGATCCATTGCTTGTAGATTAGTATCTTTATAAGTTTACACTGCCATGTTTGTTTAACATTTTCACTGATCTTAAGTGCAGAGAAGTTTAGATGGCAAAAGCTCAAAGACAATACAAGCCATGGACGAGGAAGGACTAGAGCAAGAGGAGAAGGAAAAAGAAGAGGTAGACGAAGAGGATGAAGAGGAACACGGTGAAACACTGTGTGGAGCTTGTGGAGAGAACTATGCATCTGATGAATTCTGGATTTGCTGTGACATGTGCGAGAAATGGTTCCATGGGACATGTGTGAAGATCACTCCAGCTAGAGCTGAGCATATCAAGCATTACAAATGCCCTTCTTGCAGCAGCAACAAAAGAGCTCGTCCCTAAAATGTTTTGTTATTTCCACTAGTCTTAGCTATCTCTATCTTTGTAACCAACACCGAAAAAATTGTAAAATGCAATTTTAAACTCTGTCAGTACTTGAATCCTCAATCCAACTTTGTTTAACTCAACTTGTAGTAATTTGAGAATATATGTTTAACAAGGCTGTTTAAAATCTTCAGAACACATTACAAGTTTTATCAAGTCTTTCAACTACTACATTCAAAAGCTAGAGTTCAGCTCTTGTGTTTTCGGAAACACCAAGAAGCTTAGCAAGTTCACCGCTCTCATGCGCATCTACGGTATCTGAAAAACCAGAAACAAACCTATCAATCAGCAAATGTTGTCAAAAGCAAAAGACAAATTTTTCTTGAAGGAGAAGGAGTAAGTATTACCATCTGATCCTCCGATGTGCTTTCCGTTGATGAAAACCTGTGGTACTGTTCGCCTTCCAACAATCTCCCCAAGTGCACTCTGGATACTCCCTCCATCTTCTGCAAGACCCAATTTCACACAAAAAAAACATCTCTCAGTTACTCACAAAATGAATCATCTTATATGCTTTTTTATATGATTATAGTCTTTAATCTTAAAACACACACCTCTTTCGTCAAGCTCGACAACATGAGGAACCTGATTGAGCTCACTGAACACAGATTTAGCTCTCCTGCAATACCTGTTGACACCAACCAAAAATTCATAGTCATATATAGGTACCTGAAGCTCACTGCATAACTCTAAAAAAGGCCAACGCCTAAAGCAAGAGAACAAATACACATTACATAACTAAACTCAAATGTTGAGATTAGTATCTAAGCTCAACATCAAGTTCAAACCATTTGTTAGGAGAGATAACAGAGCTCTCTCAGCTGAGGCATGAAAGACGAAGTTTCATTGGATCCAAGTTCGACACAGATTCATATATACAATGTGGAGAGTTTTAGGTCAAAGTAGCATAGTACATACAACGAGTGTTCCGTAAAGTTTCAATTTTTATTTTTGGTCAAGTTTCGATTTTTAAGATCTAAAAGCAAAACGTAAATCAAAGTCATCTAAAGATCCAATTTTTATGTCGAATAGTGATTATAAATGAACAGAGAGAGAGAGGTAGGTACGGGCAGTAGGATTTGGAGAAGATGACGATGTTGTGGGAAGAGATGGTCTTCTTAACAAAGTCTGCTTCTGGAGATGAAGAAACCATGGAGATGGATGCAACTAGTGCTGCCACAAGAAGGAACGTTGCCATCGAGATGGATCTGGTCATTGTCATCGCTCTTCTTACTTCTTCTCACTCAGATCTGCAGGATCGTAATCTGTTAGATGGTGTAGTAAACTGGTAAGTACTGGTGATGACTAACTAAACCCGGATCCAGCTATATCCGACCCGGTTCAATCAAATACGACGTCGTTGAACGGAAGTTTTTTAGATAGAGAAAAGAATTGTATGTAAAAAACCATATTAAGAAGGTTTTAAAACTTAGGATTCTGTAACAAAGGTATGCTATAATCAATTTACATTACAAGATCCTGTGGTGTGTTGTAATGTGTAACGGCATTGTTATACCATGATTAATCCGAAGTTCTTAGACTGGGGTTCTTAGCGGAAGATAAGAAACTGTTTCTTAACTTTTAACTAAAAACTAGATCTTGACCCGCCCTTGAAAAGGCGGGTATATGTTTTGTTTTGATTTTCTTTTAGAAATTTAATTTTATATTTGTATTTTTTTGGAAGTATATTTATGTGTTTTTTGTATAATCATGTATGTGTCTAAATCTTAATCAAAATCTATTTTATAAAATAAAAGAAATTTAAAAATCGACCCACCGGCATTCACTCGTTTCTTTGTAATTATATACACATGTTTGTTTCCTTACAATCGAATTAATCTACTTTAGATCTTAACCCGTGCTTTGAGTTCCGATATAATGTTGGTTTCTATTTTTTTTTTGTAAATATATTACATTTGTCTGTATTTTTTTTTATATGTTATAAAAAATTAATTTATACGTTAGTTTATAATATTGTTTTTCAAATTATTAGTAAGAAGTTTTGATAAATGTATTGAATTTGTGATGTTATATAACTATACAATTGTGTCATAGCTATTTTATACATTAATTTTATACTTTATAATTCTGTTGGTGAGCAAAAAAATAACTAAAGGACCTGTGATTATTCAACAAAACCCGAATCGTCATTCTCGTACAACCTATTTGACCAAAATATATAATCATATTTTGTTACTGTAGTATAGCCCCATTGAAAATTAACACAAGCACACCGTCTTTCTGAACAGGAACCTAAACCCATAAGCTCCTCAAGTTTTTGAATGAATAACTCGACCTTCATCTTTGAAACAGAGTACAATATCGTGTTGCAGTTTTTCGGTTTCCAAATAATGATAAAACACTTGTATTTGCAGTTTCAATCGAGGTTCCAATAATTCATGATGCTTCATTAGATGATCGTTGGAAATGATAGTTAGTTTATTTTCCAAACATAGATCTGTTGATAAATCCAAAGCTATTATTTGAAAGAAAAAAATTAGTAACTGCTTGTTTTTGGTTGAGACAATTAATTATAACGTGGATTATAGAAGGTGGTTATAGAAAGTGGGTTACATGATATATTTAGATAATTAATTAGATGCAGTTATAAAATAATTAGTTGGACCAAACAAAAATCAATTGGTCTTGCTACTGTTTTAATAGAATAGATGCTATCAGTTCTTAAAGTCTTTATTTAAGAATCTGTTCTTAGCATTTTTAGTTAAAAGTTAAAAAAAAACTATTTCTTAACTTCCGCTAAGAACCCTATCTTAAGAACCCCGAGTTAATCATACTCTTACAAGTTAGTGATTCTTGTCTTGTTATGAGTGAACTTTGTCTAGTGTAAAAGCAAAATAAACTTTGTCAACTAAGTTTAGCTACTACTTAGTGAGCTTTTTAAGAAAGACCTTATTTTAAGAAAAAAAAGAAAAAAAACTTTGTCAACTAAGTTTAGCTACTACTTAGTGAGCTTTTTAAGAAAGACCTTATTTTAAGAAAATGCTTAAAAACAACAAAAAGGAAACGAAAAGAGGAGAAGGTGAGTGGGCTTCGGTTTGGGATGAAGCAGAAGTAGTTGAGATGGTGATTGTGATGTCATTTGTATTTCGTCTTACATCGTATGCACGTCCTCGTTTAACATCCATTCCTGAGGAGAACTTTGCACAGCATCCCTGGGACTTAGCTCTTCTGCAGCATCTGTCTTGGTACTAAAGAACTTAGATCTGACTGAAACTAATTCACGTAATGCTTCATCCATTTTCATCCTATCCCTTTGATATTCTTCAGAACACCTTATTCCCACCTGCAAAACCAGTCTCAACCACTCATCAACGGCATTGCTACCTCCACCCTCCTCAATATCTCCTAACAGTACAGTCTTTGCGTAGCTGTGGAGGTTATAGTCCCCTGAAAATGATTCGTCCGTCGGTTTCTTTCCAATGAACATCTCCAAAAGTAGAATTCCAAAGCTGTACACGTCTCCTTTTATTGATGGTTGGCCTCCCATTCCATACTCTTTACATGTTTCAAAGCAACAACAGACAATGAGTATAATAATAATTCGCAGTTATGCGCATAGATGTTTTTTACCTGGTGGGGCATAGCCAATGGTGCCTCTGACACCAGCAGAACTAAACTGACTTAGGAAAGATTCTCGATCGAATTTATATAGAAGCCTAGCCAAACCAAAGTCACCAACATGAGCAGTAAGATCATCATCAAGAAGAACATTGCTTGGCTTAAGATCACAGTGAGCTATTGAGTCATGACAATGAACATGCAGATACTCCAAAGCCGAACCAACATCTATCGCTATGTTAAGTTTCTCTGGAACTGTTAAAGCTCTCGAAGGATCTTCTGGCTGTGGCTGCAGCCACATATCCAGACTTCCTTTTGGCATGAACTCATAGACCAAAGCTCTGAACTCATTTCCTTCTGAATCGAGGCTTGAACAGACCGTTATCAGTTTCACAAGGTTACGATGCCTTATACCTTTGAAAGTTTCACATTCCGCCATAAAGCTTTTCGTTGCTCCGTGTTTCAAGAGGTTCAAGACTTTAACAGCTACGAGTTTGTTATCATCGCCAAGCACTCCTTTATACACATTACCGAAGTTTCCTGAACCAATGAGATTGCTTGAAGAGAAGCCACCAGTTGCATCATGAAGCTCTTTGTAACTTAACTTCTCATAGAACTTTCCCAGTGAAGTAGAATAAGATAGGTTAGTACTACTAGTATTGCTCTTCTTCTTCTTGTCTCTCCTCTTCTTGAACCAACACAGAGAAGCCACAATTATGATTAACAAAAGTGAGGCCACACCTATCCCAACACCACTGGCAATTTTTCTTCGAAGTGACAAAGATTTTCTTGGCCTTGATGGTGCTTCCACAGTGCATGGCTTTAGTTGCATTTCTCTGATCCCTCCGCATAGATTATTGTTACCAAACACAGAAACTTCTGTAGCATTTCGAAACACTCCTGTTGTAGGCACACTTCCTTCAAACTTGTTCATAGAAAGATTCAGATTTTGCAGCAAAGGAAACTTAGCCAGATACTGAGGTATACTGCCAGAGAGATTGTTTCTAGAGAAGTCAACATTTTTAAGGCTGACCAACCGACTTATATCTGGAATGGCTCCCTCAAACGAGTTCCCTTGCAGATAGAGAAACTCCAACGAGAGACAACCTCCTAGAGTCTGTGGAATGTGTCCTGATAACTTGTTGTCGCTAACACCTAGTCCAACAAGAAGCTCTAGCTTTCCAACTTCTTCCGGAATAAAACCGGTTAAGACATTGCTTGACAAATCTACATAAGTAAGAGATGGAATCTGCAGTATTTCTCGAGGTATACTCCCATTCAACTTATTTGTATCAATCCATAAGTCTAGCAAGTTTCTACAACCTCCAATACTCTTAGGGATTCTTCCTTGGAAACTATTGCTGTTCAAATGAATCTTTTGCAACTGAGTCATCTTGTCAAAGTAAGATGGTAACTCCCCAGATAATGAGTTTGTATACAGATCCACCACCTGCAACTCCAAAAGCTTCCCGAAAGAGACAGGAAGTTCTCCTGTCAACATATTTGCTTCCAAACTGAGTACTTGCAGGTTAATGAGATTCCCAATGTCACGAGGAATTGTTCCAGAGATTTGATTTCCTCCCAAGTTTAGACTAGTCAGCTTGGTGGACAAGTTGGCTGTGGAGGCAGGAAGCTCACCTCCAAGTCTGTTGTAACCAGCGTCTAAGAACTCTAACTCAGTGCAGTTAGTTAAACCACCAATAAACTCAAGATCACTGAACGAGTTGTTTCCCAGAGCGTTTTGAGCAATCCCTAACCACCAGAGATTACGTAGCTTTCCAAAACTCAAAGGGATGCTTCCTGTCAGGTTATTAGATGAGATATGAAACCTTTCAAGGGTTGAGATATTGGTAAGTGTTATGGGGATGGCTCCGGTGAATCTGTTTTCTCCCAGAAAAAGTTGTCTTAGGTTTGGAAGAAGATCACCAATATCACCTCTAAGTTCACCTGAAAAGCTATTGCCACCTAGAGATAGATACTCAAGAGAAGAGAGGTTGTATAACACATGAGGGAAAACACCTGAGAAACTGTTCTGTGATATCTGGAAGTACACCAATTGAGTCAACCTAGCAACGTTTTCTGGAATCTCCCCTTCCATATTGTTATATGCAAACTCAAGCTTCTGGAGTGAGGTTAAGTTTCCCAACGATGAAGGAAACTTTCCGGTAAGGTTGTTCTTAGCAAGTGAGAGAATGACAAGCTTAGAAAGCGAACCTAGCTCTGGAGGAATGTTGTGTGCAAGTTGGTTTGACGTTAAATCAAGGGTGGACAGTGTAGAGCAGTTAGAGAGACTATGTGGAATCCTTCCTTCTAGAAGATTAAAGCTCATGTTCAAGTACTGAAGCCTAAACAGCATCCCAACCTCTTTAGGAATAGTACTTCTAAAAGAGTTGTCTGCGAGATTAAGTAACCTGAGAAACGAGAGATTACCAATGGAAGGTGAGATCACACCAGCTAACTTGAATCCTCCAAGGTCTAGACTCACAACTCTTTCTCGTCTCTGACCACATGTAACCCCAGTCCAGCTGCAGAGCGGAGAGGAGTTGTTCCATGAGGACAAGACCTCACTGTTGTTCTCAGCGGCTTGGGACTTGAACTCAAGCAAAGCTTTCTTGTCAGTCTCACTCGAAAACCTGGCTTCAGCAAGAACCACGGTGAAAAACATGAGTAGAGCAAGTGAAAGAGACAGCTTCATGTCCGGTTATACAGAGGAAAAAATAGATTCTTCTTCAACATAAACTAGAGAAATTGAGAGGAAGGTAAAAGCCTTTAAGGTGTATCAAAAAGAAGCAAACTCAAAATGCAATTCCACTAAAGAAGGTAGTGGGGACTGGAGAAAATTTAATGAAGTCGTTGAATCAAAGACCTGTGACTTGTGAGACGAGTCCTTGTCAATATTATTTGTTTTTTTTTGTCAACAGTCAACCTTTATAAACGTGTGTACGGAGAGTAAAGGCAAAGCATTTTCACTGGCCGACATTCAACACTACACAACACAAAGACAACCCTCTTTGTCATTTTCGTTAAAGTCTTCCTGAAACTTGAAATTGACATTTGACAATATATTCCTTTGAAAGAGATTCTGAAAAAGAATATTTTAATGTTTAATTCAAAGATATTGATAGCAACTTCATGAAAATTAAACATCACAACCTACCAATCATTAGTTGTTTGGTAAATGCAAATAAAAAAGAAGACTTTACTTTTAACGATTATTGAGTCTCCTGAATCGGCATATTCTCACGGCGACAGCCTTAACCAGCTCAGATTGGATCTTTATTCGAATCATCTGAGCCATGATTAAAAAAAGTCGTTAAGGTGGTCGAGAGATCTGATTAGTGAGTGAGTGGGGTGCTGTGTCAGTGTCACGGAGAAGAAATGTTCTGTTCTGTTCTGTTCTGTTTATTACAGATTAAACCGACACGTAGTTCTTCGCTGAGAAAACAAAACGGCTTGTAGTTTTGAACAAAGAATTGTGTTGTAATTTATTTTAGGATAAAAAAAATGAATAAGAGAAATGTTTTTATTTATTAAAAAAAAATAGGAAGGTTGAAATATAAAATAAGACAATATATTTTTACTAAAATAAAATATTTCATTCTATAATAGTCACCAACTATACATTTTTTGACTAAATTTTGGTCACCAACTATACATTTGACATCCTATTATAAACTTTTATATATACATTATTTAGAGATATATAAAGTTAGGTAGTTTTGATTTTAAAAAAGTATAAAAAGACTGCAAAAAAAAAAGTTAATCTATATATAATAGCAAACTGAAAGTGATATCATCATTTTTTATAGGAAAAAAAAAATTTAATCCAATGGTCATAGTTAATTTGATTTTAATATCTAATGGACCAAAAAAACTTTTTCATATGATTGATGATGTCATCAAATATTTGACAACTCTTCATTGAAAAGACATATATTTCATTTTAATAGCCACAATCATATTTTTCATACATTTTCATAAGTTTAAATATTAATATTAACTTTTTAGAAGATAATATTTGTATGTGTCGTGACCGAAGATGTATGAATGTATCGTAATTCAAGAGGTACGAACATGTCGTGACCCAAGAGATACGAATGTGTCGTGACCCAAGAGGTACAAATGTGTCATGAACCAAGAGGTACGAACGTGTCTGACCCAAGAGGTGCGAACGTGGCAGGACCGAAAGGGTGCGAATGTATCGAGACCGAAAGAGTGCGAACGTGTTGGTACCGAAAGGGTGCGAACGGGTCGAGACCGAAAGGGTGCGAACGTGTTGGGACCGAAAGGGTGCGAACGTGTCGGGACCGAAAGGGTGCGAACGTATCGGGACCGAAAGGGTGCGAACGGTTTGGGACCGAAAGGGTGCGAACGGTTCGGGACCGAAATGGTGCGAACGGTTCGGGACCGAAATGGTGCGAACGGTTCGGGATCGAAAGGGTGCGAACCGTTCGGGATCGAAAGGGTGCGAACGGTTCGGGACCGAAAGGTGCGAACGGTTCGGGACCGAAAGGGTGCGAACGGTTCGGCCCGAAAGGGTGCGAACGGTTCGGCCCGAAAGGGTGCAAACGGTTCGGCCCGAAAGGGTTCGAACGGTTCGGCAGCGAAAGGATGCGAACGGTTCGGCAGCGAAAGGGTGCGAACGGTTCGGCACCGAAAGGGTGCGAACGGTTCGGCACCGAAAGGGTGCGAACGGTTCGGCACCGAAAGGGTGCGAACGGTTCGGCACCGAAAGGGTGCGAACGGTTCGGCACCGAAAGGGTGCGAACGGTTCGGCACCGAAAGGGTGCGAACGGTTCGGCACCGAAAGGGTGCGAAGGGTTCGGCACCGAAAGGGTGCGAAGGGTTCGGCACGGAAAGGGTGCGAATGATTCGACACCAAAAGGGTGCGAATGGTTTGGCACCGAAAGGGTGCGAGTGGTTCAGGATCGAAAAGGTGTGAATGTAACGCCACCGAAAGGGTGCAAATGGAACGTCACCGAAAGGGTGCGAATGTAACATCACCAAAATGGTGAGAATGTAACGTCATCAAAAAGGTGTGAATATGACATCACCGAAAGGGTGCGAACATAATGTTACCAAAAGTGAACGAACAAAATATCATTGATACTTATGGATGCAAGTCATTAGAGTTAAGGCCGAGCCATCATGAGTGGTAAACATATTGTTCATGGTCGGGTGCTATGGACTATGATCCATGATATGGATCGATGGTTCAAAAAGAAGTGAATATGAAACAGCCTTAAAGTTTTATTGTACCTTGTAATAAGTATAAGAATATAGACATTCATATGTATGGTAATGAAAGCACATAGACACTAATTAACATCATTTTTTTTTTTTTGGAAAAATGGAAAGACATGACTCCTGATGATAAATACTACACACCTATAGAAATGAATATACAATCCAAGGTGTATCGTGTTAAACAAATTATGGAACTACTTTATAATGCCAAATTTAAATGCAAACCATTTTTAAAATTAAATATAAAATAATCAGAGAAGGTTAATTATTTATTTGTTTCCTTAAAAGACACTTTTAAGGGTATTTAACAAATCATAAAATATATTTTTCAAAAATACTCCACATTTCATTTTATTTGGCATTCGCAACCTTTCACATTAATTGAGATTTTTAATAAGATACACAACTTTTTATTTTATTTGGCATCACAATCTTTAGAATTAATTGAGATTTTTGTTAAGATACACAGCCTTTCATTTTATTTATTAAGAAACACAACTTTTCATTTTATTTTTTTAAAGAGGCATAGCTTTCCATTTTATTTTGTCTTTACAATATTTCACATTAATTGGCATTTTTATTAAGATACAGAACTTTAGAATTAATTGGTATTTTTATTAAGACACACAACCTTTCATTTTATTTATTAAGAGACACAAATTTTCATTTTATTTTATTAAGAGACACAACCTTTCATTTTATTTATTAAGAGAAACAACTTTCATTTTATTTTACATTTACAACATTTCACATTAATTGATATTTTTATTAAGAGTCACAACCTTTCATCTTCATTGACATTCACTTTCATCTTGATTGACATTCACAACTTTTAGAATTAATTGGGATTTTTTATTAAGGTACACAATTTTTATTTTATTTGACATTCACAATCTTTAGAATTAGTTGTGATTTTTATTAATAGACAACCTCTCATTTTATTTATTAAGAGACATAATCTTTCAGTTATTTCTTTAAAGAGACACAATTTTTCATTTAATTTTGTATTTTCAACCTTTCACACTAATAGAAATTTTTATTAAGAGTCTCAAATTTTTTTATTTGGCATTCACAGACTTTTAAATTAATCAAGATTGTTATAATTAGTAGATTTTTATTATGAGAAGACACAACTCTTATAACTTTTTTAAATATTTTTAAATTATTTTTTCTGAGACACAATTGTTTTTATAATGAAAAGATGCAAATTTTAAACTAATATAATTCAGTTCTAATGAAAAGATACAACCTTTCAACAACTTTTTTTTTTTTTGAAAATACACAATTATTTTTATAATGAAAGATGCAACTTTTCAACTAATATATTTCAGTTTATTATGAAAGATACAATTTTTCATCCATTGTTTTGTTTTTCATGCAATTGTCCTAAGAAATGTTTTTTAGACATACGATATTTATGGCATTAACATTTTTTTTTTCAAACAACAAATATTTTTACATAAAAGAGTCATACTTTTTCATATTTGAAGGATTACAATCTTTGGTTATAATTATTTTTTTTTCTTCTATTGGTCTTAATAATTTTTTTATACTTAAATTAAAATTGCTATGAGCAGTTATTTTTTTTTCAAACAACACATCTCTTTAATTTGAAGAGTCATACTTTTCCCTAATTCTTGACTTTTTAATTTTTTTTTGAAGAGTTTCAGTCTCGTGGTTGTAATTATTATGGTTCTATCTAATGGTCTTGAAAATGTATTTGTTTGAACCTTTTTTTTCTTTGCAACTATTGAAAATATTCATTTTAAAACAAAACACAACTCTTGATAATCTATCAATGTACCTTTTCATATTACTATAAATAGAATGTTTTACAGATGCAATTTTTAAAGAAAATTTATGTGTTTTTTTTCTAATATAGGTATGATTCTTAGTACTCTTGAATATAATGTTTGATTCATTATATAGTTTTAAACGATCTTTAAAAATTTAATGTGGTGTCTGCAAAAATAATTTAATAGGTTTAGTTTTAGCCAAACTAAACTACCATATCCAAACCAATCTGGCCGTAAGAAAATAACCTATTTTTTTTTGTAATCTCTTATTCTTCTTCTGATAAAGTCCATTTTTTTTTTCTAACCCAGTTTGTATGGAGGTACTGAGCGTCATAGATTTAAAAATGTCGTTCTTTGCATGTTAATTACAGTGTTTTAAAACATTTTATATTATTTAATTAAAAGGTTTAAACTGTTCCATCATTTCAACAAATTTTAAAAGTTTGTCTTCTCATATATAAAAAGATAAAAGAAAATGATTGCGACTTTAATATTAAAGTTTACTTAATATTGTTATGCTAAACACATAACATTTAAATTTATACATTTTCAAACACAAATTATACTTTTACTCTTCTATTATATAAGATTATTTTTTAAGTATTGATTTTCGTACAAAATAATTAATTTATTAAATGATTCAAAATGATTGACTAACAAATATAAATTATATAAAAATTATTTTTAAGAAAACATCTTTTTTCCCGCGCGTTTACGCGTGGGATGGTTTCCTAGTTATAATAATAAGATTGTTCACCAGAATTTTATTGGTTAGACTGCAAGATTTTGTTTATGATTCTTTATCTCAAAGATTAATTTCTAAAGGGTAAACTTGTAAACAATAATCAAGCTAATTAGCTAAATGTTATTAAAAAATTGATAATTTTTTCAATATAATTAGTTATAGGATTTGAGAAAACTTTCCAGTTTACATGAAGAATAGAATTTGATATTTCATTTTTCTATATTTTCTCTTTATTTGCAAATTTAATTTCCGGAAGACGTTGCATAAACTTGTAGAAACCAACGTTCTTGACCATATCATTCAGACAAAAGCAGCTTTGGCCATTGAAGTAAGTTGGTTCTTTCTTGCTTCACTGTTCAAGGAATTTATGAACCAACCAGAGTGTTTTGTGTTTTTTTTTACTCATGTTTGTTATACGTAGCCATTACACTTTTTTGACTGTTTCGTTTTGCTCACAAGTTTTAATGCTGTAAATATTTTCTTACTGATCATTGTTATCCTTATTGATTGATTAAATATGTTCCGGACGTGTACATCTTGTTTTTGCTTTTTGGCTTCAGACTAGAAGAGAAACACAATGTCTACACCGGTAAGAGAAAGTGATGGTTTTTCTAATCTAAGTCTTGCACATTTAGAACTGAGACCTGGATACTTTCTTGTTTGCTTCAATTGCTTATGGCCTATAAATGTAACAGGCGGCTCTGCAAGCAATGCAGTTGAAAGTTTTAGAAGAAAACGTTTCTGTGATTAGAGAAGAGGATGCCTCAGTAGATAAGGCGACTACGGTATTCGGTGAGAATGCTGAAAAACTCATTTCATTGACTTCAGAGGTGGAGGCTCTTAAGGTATGTGTGTGTCTGTTTTAACTTACTAGATCATTTTTTGAATAATGCTTGTCTGTTCATTTAGAGTATTGCATTCTGTTTATTAGCTTGGTGTCACTCAGGAACTACTAGTCAAATGCATCAGACAAAACCTTGGCTTTGCTGGAGGCAAGCCTGTTGCTGCATATCTCATTTACAAATGTCTACTTCACTGGAGATCATTTGAACTTGAAGAAACCAACATCTTTGATAGTATCATTCAAACAATAGCTTTGGCCATTGAAGTAAGAGCTGATTGTTTCTCCCTTCATTGTTCTGAAGCGTACATATTTAACAAAAAAATAAAGTTGGTAAGTGTTTGAATCTCAATATGAAAATCCATTACAGGTACCAGATAACAATCCCGTTTTGGTGTATTGGTTATCCAATTCATGTATGTTACTTAAGCTACTGCAACACACATTCACAAGTGCTACAATACCAGCGTCCAGAGTAACAAGCTGTGAATCTTTTTCTTTTTTACACTTGACCTTTATCTGACTCACTTCATGTCTTGTTTACACTTCAAATAGGGATGCATGGGAGGTAGTGTAGTTTCTTCTTTGGATAAACAAATGCACGTTGATGCAAAGTACCCCGCAACTCTTTTCAAGCAGCAGCTTATTGGATTCCTTGAGAAGATGTATGTAATGATCAGAGATAATCTTAAGATTGAGATCTTTTCTCTTCTCCGGTTATGTACACAGGTTGTTTCTTTGTTGCCTTTAGTGTATCCATATACTGACCAGTCGATATATTTTACAATTTCATTGCGCTGTTTCATCGATTTAGTCTATAAGATATGGTTACATGTTACAGGCTCCATAGGCGCAAGAAAATTGGAAAAGTATTGTGCAAAGGCTAAGCAGTTACTTGAATTTAATGAAAGCAAACAATGTAAGTCTGGGAATCCACAAGAAAATAACAAAGCAAACCCTTACAACTTGGCTTCGGATTGAGATATTTTAATTTATGAGCAATGGAACTCTCTTATCTTTGCATGATGCAGACGCCACCATTCTTGATCAGAAAATTAGTCACACAAATATTCTCCTTCATCAATCTTCAGCTTTTTAACAGGCATGCATGTTTACTAATAGTACTCCATCCGTTTCATATTAAGTGGCGTTGTAGAGAAATTTTTTTGTTATAAAATAAGTCGTTTTCGACTTTCAATGCAAAATTTATTAATTTTATACAGCAACTTATTTTTATATTGATTGAAATATGGTTAGGTATATACGTAATTGTGTTTTTATATAGAAAATATGCAAAATTAACTGTTTTCTCAATCCGTGTGTACGAAACTAAAGTGACACTTAATATAAAACATCGGGAGTAATATCTCATTATCTTTTGTTATCTTCTTTCTCAAGGCAAGTTTTCCTTGACATAAAGTTTTCTCTGTAAATTAACAACTTGTACAGTGTTCTTCTAAGCCATGTCTGTTGCTCTTTCGGTGAAGTGGAGTACGTTGAAGCAGGGTTGGCTGAATTAAAACAGTGGTGTGTAGAGGCTACCGATGAAGTAAGCTTTGATTTCATCACATCTTAAACATTGTTTACAAAATTTTATTTGAAAAGTTGACTTAATTGTTTAGCTTTTTTTATTTTTGTGAAAAAACAGTATGTTGGTTCAGCTTGGGATGAGTTGAAACATATCAGACAGGCAGCTGGATTCTTGCAGGTATGTTCATACTATGCCACACATTCTATTGCATTGTAAACTGATTTGTTTATGCTTTCTGTTCAGGCCATTATTCAAAAGCAGGAAATGACTTTAGACAAAATAACAAGAGAACTCTGTCCGGTAATGATCATTAGACTTTTACATTGTTTTTTTTTGACAAACATTGAAGTTGCTTTTGTCGTTCAGGTGCTAAGTATACGGCAGCTCTATAGAATCAGTTCTATGTACTTCGATGACATTTATGACATGAACAGTGTTTCTTCAGATGTACGTTTCACTTGTAAAATGAGTTAAGCTTTGGTTCTGTCTAGACATTGTTTTAAACTGTCTCTTGTTTTTTTTTTTCAAACCGTAAGGTTATCTCAAGCATGATGATTACATTGATAGATGACTTGATGAACGATGGAGTACGCAACGACTTTCTTTTGGAAGACGACTTGAGGTAACTTGAAACGTTTTTCTTTTTGTGGTTAGATAAATCTACTTTCCCATATTTGCTCTGAAGTAACGGCGGGTTATCAATCAAAGCAGCATTTCATTTACGGTGGAGGAGATATTAAAGTCAATGGAAAATGTGGATGTCAACGACATTGATACTCTCAAACTGATCCATGATAACCCAAGTTTCAGCTTCTTGCTCACTTGCAAATGATTTTTTTTTTTTCTTTTTCTTGGACATGCCTGTTCACTGTTGGAGAAAAAAAACTCACATCAAGAATTTCGATGGAACATCGTATTATATAGAAAATTTGAGCCATTATATTTTCGTCAGTTGATTTTTGAGTTGGAAACCCAAAAAATTTAAACATATGTTAGATTGGACACACTTTGATCCATTACTTCGTGCCGAAAATTATCTGAAGAAAACTCAATTTCGTTGAAATAGCCAAAAAAAAAGTGTATTATCTTGGAGGAGAAATCACATTAGTATATCTTGTGGTTACATTACATTGGTACTTGATCGAACCTAATCGTTTTGTCATTTTTGAGCGAACCTTCTTTTAAACAAGTTTTGGGTAATCATTATGGGCACACTAAACATGTCTCCGTTGATTCCAACCAGAAAACGTGTTTCAAAACAAAAACAAATAAAAATATTCAAATTCAGTGACCACACAGAAAAACAAAGATGGAACTTAAGTATTATTATTAACATAAAAAAAAAAAAAAAGGTTGACAAAAACAAACAAGTCACAGATCCATGGCATCATATTATTGTTTTCACCCACAACAAAAGTGGAAACAACGTTACAACGGGTCCGTATATATTCTTTACAGAAAAAGATAAAAAAGGAAGATCAAAGTAATAATGGCCAGTAGTTTTTCACCGAATGAAGAAACAGCTTGTAGTTTCTAAAGAAATAGAATTGTGTTATTTTGTATTGACAAAAACTATTTTCAGTTCTTTTTAGAACAAATAGGAAAGTACTTAAATAAAAATGAAAAACACATTTTTCAAAGATTTTTTACTTCTAAAATAAGAGTTAACTAGATTTTGACCCGCGCTTGAAAAACGCGGAAATTTTTTATCAAAAATTTATATAATTGAGTTTTGTCTTAATTTAATAATGTTTGGTATAAAATAAATTCACCAAAATTTGTGATGATGATTGTTTTTCATTAGTTTTTAGTTTTGGTTTTTATTTTTAGATTTTGTTTTAGATTTTGGTTTTTATTTTTAGATTTTGTTTTAGATTTTGGTTTTTAGTTTTTAGTTTTTAAGTTTCTACTTTTGATTTTCAGTTTTTGGTTTGGGTTTTCAATTTTTAGATCTGCTGAGTTAGTTTGAACTGATATTACCAACAAACAAATCTCAAATAATCGAACATGTAATTTAAAATTGAAAAGATGACAATTTTTTTTAAAAAAAAAATCGTAATAGTTTATTTTGTAAATAAACAAAAGCAAAAAAATATAACATGCGTTTTCAGCTTTTGGTTTTGGATTTTAGTTTATAGATTTGGTTGTTGGTTTTGCTTTACATTTTTTTTAAACAATAAATTATTTAAAAGCTACCATTAAAATTTATCAAAACAAAGTGATTTTTTTTTAAAATAAAAAATCTATTAACATGTTTTAATGTACATGATTTAAATAAATGATTAATAATAGACAATTTTGTTTTGTTAAAAATATTAATTACCTTTTGGGCCTGAAAATAATATTTGATTTTTGAACTATTAAATTGAAAAGTTTATTCAATGTGTTTTGGAGTTTTTACTTAATACTAAGCCCAAAAACCAAACTATATAATTTGTTTAAAAAACAAAAGTAAGCCCAAAACTATATCCTATAAATAACCACCGGTTTAATTTAAGTAATGCGTTTCAATTAACTATATGGCTTGTATTATTTGTAACACTCTAGAAAGAGTCCAAATTTAAATGATAACTTGTATCAATAGATAAAAAGAATGACTCTATTTTAATAGAGTAGATTATATATTTGACATTCTATTGTAAAGTTTACATATAAAATGTAGAACATTTGGTAAAATTAGGAAACAAATAATAAGATTTTTTTTCTTTTTGTTCAAATGGAAACAAAGAATAAGATCAAATGTAAATCTTAGAAAGAAATAAAAGTATAATAAGACAGTGCACCAAAATCTTACAAGTTAAAATTACACGTAATTGTTTCTCTCGATAATTAGTACATATTTTTGGGAAAAAAAATTAGTACATATCGAGTTTTTTTTTTCTTCTGAAAAAGGGCATATATCCAGCTATTTTGCTTTTTTATTTAATTCATCCAGCTGTTTTTACTATAAGTTTTATTTATTTATTCATTAATATGTCTAGATTTGTTTTTATTATATTTTTGGGTGACGTTTGTATAAATAAATACACGTAGAAACCAAGAGATCTCATTCAGTTTCAAGCAACAGATTCGGCCATTGGAGTAAGTTGATTCTTTTGCTCCTTTCATTGCTGAGAGAAATTTAATAAATTGTTTCAACATGCTCATGAACAAGCAGGTTCTTTTAATTTGTATTACACTTACTTGGACGGTTTGGCTTTGTTTTACAAGTTCTGATGCTGAAAAGAGACTCTTAGTAATCAAATAACTATGGCTGCGGGATCAACAAGAATGCTTTTACAGGTGCCAACTACATAAGAAGCTGCATTTTTCTTCTTTCAGTACACTTGAAAATACCACAAGGCATGTTTGTTCATGTCTCTTATGTTTTCCATGTTCAGAGAACCACAGAAAATGAGGATTTTCATAATGAAGAAACCAAATCTAAACCGGTAAGGAGAATTGTAGTGTTCTTATTAGAACTGTTAAGAAACCCCTGGTTAAAAAAAATAAGAAAACCCTTTGACAAAAAAAAAAAAAAATGTACGTTTAAATAAAACCAGGATATTCTTCCTTATGGATGAACAACTAAAATTGAACTCTAAGAAATTCGATTTGGTTATAACCAGGGTGCAAACTTTTTCCTTTTCTATCCTTATCAGAGTTGCATAGAAAGAATTTGAAATGATTCACAATTAACTGAATCAGGGTGCACGAGACATAGGAGCCCCTAGTGAAAGGGAGGCAGCGAGGAAAGCTAGTGAAGAAGCACTTCTAGTCACTGATCAGAATACTGAAAACATCAATTCATTAACATCAGAGGTGGATGTTCTGGAGGTGTGTGTGTGTGTGTGTGTGTGTGTTTAACTTATTATATCATCATTTATGTATTTGCAAGGAATCTCACATAACTCTACACTACAATATTCAATATCAAAGTTAGTATATATATCTATAAATAGAAGAATAGTTGTGTTTGTTCATGTAATTTTTTTGAGAGTATTGCACTCATTTTATATTTTATTTTGGTGTCACCCAGGAAAGACAGGAACTACTAGTCACATGCATCTCACAAAACCTTGAATATGTTGGGGGCAAACCTGTTGCTGCATGTCTCATTTACAAATGTCTCCTTCTCTGGAGATCGTTTGAACTCAAAGAAACCAATATCTTTAAGCGTATTATCCAATTTATATCTTCAGTCATTAAAGTAAGCTGGTTTATTTCTTAATTCACTGTTCAGAAGCATTTTTTTAAAACCATTTCCAAGCTTTTTATGAGAATATCAATATAGAAAATGTTGTCTTCCCTTACAGGCAACGGATAATAATGACGTTTTGGCGTATTGGTTATCTAACTTAGCCGTGTTACTTTGCCTACTGCAACGCACCTTCACAAGTTCTACAATATCATTCAAGGTCTCAGCTCACTTCTGATGCTTGGATTCTTTAACACTTTTGTCTGCCTCAATTCATGTCTTGTTTGTCTTTTTTCACAAACTAAATAGGGATACAAGGGAGAAGTTGAAGCAAAGTACCCAGCACTACAGTTCAGGCAGCAGCTAATTGCATTACTCGAGAAGATATATGGAATGATCATAGATAATTTTAAGAAAGAGATCTCTCCTCTTCTTGGGTTATGTATACATGTAATTTCTTCGTTGCTTTTAAATTCATCTCTTTATTTGTTTTTTAAGTTATTTGATGATGTTTCTTAATTTAAATTGTATTAACGTATTGATTTAAGGCATGTTATCCATCAAGGAGATCGAGTTTGGTGAAAGAGACAGCACAAGCAAATGCTACTGCTCAAGAAGTTGTGGTTGCCCAGTGGCAGAGTATTATGAAAAAACTAAACGCTTACTTGAATCTAATGAAAGCAAACAACGTGAGTCTTGACTTCCATTAGAAATTAAATAAAAGAAAATAAATTGTGGCAATGTTGATTACATTCTATGTTTGCAGGCTCCACCCTTATTGGTCAGCGAAGTATTCACAAAAATATTCTCCTTCATCAATATTAAGTTTTTCAACAGGCATGATGTTTTCACTTGTAACTTCTCCGTTTTTTTTGTTCTCTCTCAAACATTTGTTACCTTGATTGATTGTAATAATAAACGTTTTGGCAGTTTTCTTCTACGCCGTGAGTTATGCACAAGTAGCAACGGGAAGTATGTTGGCGCAGGTCTAGCTGTATTACAACAGTGGTGTGTAGAGGCTACTGATGAAGTAAGCTGTTGTTTCGTCACACCTTTGCCTCTTAAAAACATTTTCACATCTTTTTTGAAATGGAATTATTATTGTTATTTGTTTCATTTTGTTAATAGTATGTTGGTTCGGCTTGGAATGAGTTGAGGCATGTGAGGCAGGCTGCTGAATTCCTGCGGGTATAAATCTTACTCGATGCTATGCCAATCTTATTGTGTAAATTTTCAAATTTTGGACCAGTGGACCGCCCACTCGATCCTATTTGGGCTGGGTCCATTTTAGGCTTTAGACTGTCAATGTTCGGAAAACGAGCTTGTCCAAATGGACAAACTCGTTTAGACGTGTACAGCCAATTGACATCATTAGAGATGCTATATGCCAATCTTATTATGCTTCCATTACATTGTTTGGCTATATGAGCTTTGTTTGGATTGGCTCTATTTCTTCAGGTCATTCATCAAAAGCAGGATATGACCTTAGAGGAAATAACAAGAGAATTGTGTCCGGTATCACTCTCTTAGAACCTCTACTCTAATTTCCCTCGTGAGTTGAACATTGAAGTTGCTTTTTTTATGGTTCAGGTGCTAAGCATGCAGCAGCTATTCCGAATCAGCACAATGTACTGGGATGACAGATGTGGCATGCGTGGTGTTTCTTCAGATGTATGTGTCACTTGTTCCCAAATAACTAAGCTTTGATTTGTATAGATATGTAATAGTTTTCTTTTCTCAAAACCCCCTAGCTTATTGCAAAATTGAGAATTATGATGGCTGATGACTCGAGCAATGCCACAAGTGGATCTTTAACGACGTTGGACGAGGAGGACTCGAGGTAACTGCAAACTCTCTTTTTCTGGTCAAATCTCCTTTTTGTACACTTGCCAAGTTTCTCAAGTAACCGCGAGGGCAACAATCAAATACGCAGCATTCCATTCACGGTGGAGGAAATATCAAAGTCGATGCAACAAGTGGATGTAAACAACATTAATGAACCTCTTCAACTGATCCGAGAAAGTCCAGGCTTCAGCTTCTTATTCACCCGTGAAGATTCTTCATAAAATGGCATAGGTGGTGCCCGGAGTAGTTTGTATTCATCTCTTTCTTAATTTCATTCTAGTTATTTATGTATAACGTTGCAAACTTGCAATGGAGGTACTATAGTTTGATTTTGAACCCAAAGCAACACAAAGCTTCTTCTAATAGACTAAAACCGTCTAGGTTACACAACTCAGTTCAATGAAATATAAAAAAGGATCTTTATTCCAACCATGGAGGATCTTTAGAGTATATAACATGGTTGAAAACATCACAAGATAGATTATTGCATATATTACATCAGCTTATTTGTAAAAAGCTCAACTGGTTACATGACATCAACTCCTAAAGGATGTTAATTATTGGTAGATATCTCACAATCCTTATTTTCCACCTTGAAACCATATTTTTTTTCTTTCTATGGTTTCAAAACCTTTCCCACGATCTCTTTAAGAGGCTCCAACTCTGCTTCATCAATCAACTGATACTCCTGCATGTTGCAAAACAATAAACTCACGTTGTCAACGTTTTTAACATCAGCTATTATAACATTCAAAATGTTCAAGGGAAACTCACATATATGAAGAGAACAAGATGTTTGAAGCAAGTGTTGAGATGAACTTCTTCCATGAGATTCACAATCTCTTGAAAATGACAATGATAGATGTGTGCATAAACCCTAAACAGCCTCTTCAAAATCACCTTCACCAAGTCCTTAAAGTTTGGTGGAAATGATGCTCCTGAATAAGGATGAGAAATAAACGTGTTACAAATCAAAACCAATTTGATTAGATACATTTAAAAACTATAAACATGCTTGGCTGCTACCACGTTCTTGGGGAAAGATGGCTTTATTATCGATCTGAGTTTCAATCCAGTCCATGAGATAGTTAACGTATTCAGGAGCAGAAACCGCTATTGGCTTCTTTATAGCAATCCCATCTGCCCATCTATACTCATATCTGCAACCAAAAGAAAGAAAAAAGTGATCAAAATTTTACGTATCAAATTGATATGGATAAGTGTCATGGATGAAGGAGTGAGTTACAAGGGTCCGGCGTTCATGATAGGGCAAGTGATGGTTGTGCAGAATTCTTTAAGAGTAGAGTACAAAACGTTTACTTGGTTGTAGAATTCTATGGCTAAAACAAACCAAACATATACAATGTTAAAAAAAATCAGATAATAAATAAATCAAGTTGAGGATTATAAGAATGACTTGTGTCTTAACTGTGAATGGCCAACCACTCATTAATGTCTTCACCATAGGGTAGTTGCACGACTTCTCTGAGGTTGCCACTCACGAGAGTCGCTGTGAATTGATTTTCAACCAAATGATCACTAAATCTCAGTCCACTGACATTTCTCCCTGATGGATGATGCTTCCTCTTCTTTGGTCGAAATGTCGTCCTCTGATTTACCCTGAAAGACAGTAAGTATGATCCATCATGTTAGAACTTAGAACCTATAAAGCCGTGTGTTCCAAACTATGTCCCAACACAAATTGTAATTACACTTGAGACGTGAACCACATGTTAATACAAAACAAAACGTAGAGAATTTAAATGAAAAAAAACGGTAGAACATACCAGCAGGGTAAGCCAAATATGTTCATGGCTACAGAGAGTGTGCTTTGAAGAATTAATCTGGAAAATATTGCTCAACTTAAAAATCGATAAAACAATAGATCGCGAATATCCGAACTACGATGAAACACTTGTAACTATCATAAGTTACCTGACTGCTTTCTAATGGTTGGATGCTACTGATGGAGATATTCAGGTAGTTTGCTGGATTCTCATAAGATTCATGCCTGCAGATAAAACACACACACATTCATATATATATAGATAGATATATGTGACTATTTTTAATAGATATTATATAGATATATGTGACTATTTTTAATACATATTTTCAACAGTGAAGTTAAATTAACACACAAAAATATTCAAGCTGACATCATGTATGGTTTATTCATTTGGAAATAAATATGTCCTAAAACAAAGAAATGATATTTTCATACTGTCACTTAAAATAATTGGTTTTTCCCAAAATACAAGATATATACCGTGTATAATCATCATTCTTATCCTCATCTTCATCCTTTTATATATTAATTGATAAATTACTTAAATGATTTTGTTGAGGTGTCAATCATTGGAGGACTCTCAAATTAAACGTATAATCTGATTGGTTGATGATATATTTTTATTTATTTAATTAAAATGTTTTAAAAGAAAACTAATATTATCTAATTTAATCTAATCTATGTTTCCTAACAAACAATGAAACATCTTAAATATTGAACACAATTTATAGAAACAATTAAATATCATAGATTACATTATATAAATTGATATATACATATAAATACATATGGTACTACATAAACAATTATATAAACAGTTTTAAATATATTTATATTTGTAGTGAATATAATAAATTATAGATTACATAAAGTTAATCAATTAAAACCTAATAATATCAATTAAAATCATGCACTATATATATGTATTATAACATATGTCAAATGAATGCAACAAAATCAAATACATAAATTTTTAATAAATTTTATTTAAAGAAAATAATTTATTTTAATTTAATATTGAATCTCACATTAATATTCAGTATATATGTATAAAATTCCGACAGTACCTTATTCAAAATTTTAACAATTAATTTTTTATATATAATTAGTTAATCATATTTCATTAAAATATGTATGTTTTAAAGTAATTTAAATAAATGAAATAATGCTTTTAAAAGATATCTAAGCTATGCTTGTTTTAATAAAAACAATTTGGTGAAATGAATTAGTGTTTGATAAAGATATTTTAAGAATAAATTTGTTTGATTAACCAATTTTGAGTTTCATGTAAATAGTAAATGAGTGAGAAAGACTGATATGTGATTTGAAAATATTATGAAAAAATTATGATTATTTTACATATAAGTAAAATAAAGTGGTAGACACAAAATTATATATATGTTTAATAATCTTCAGTTTGGTGTTAAATATAAATTATGTCATAAAAATATTCGGAAACTTAGATTAAAATTTATAGAATTATCACTGTATCTCAAAAATCTTCTAATATTATGTGATATCAAGTTTTTTATTTTCAAATTATTTAAGATAAAAGGCTATTTTAATATTTATGATTCTTATTCAAAATTATAAAATCATAAACAAAATATAGAACTTTCATGTAATATTTATAACCGCGAAATTGCGGACAACCATCTAAAAATAAAATACTTTAACATTTTTAATAGAAATAAATTGAATGGTTTTATATTCTTATAAAAAGAATTATATTTATAGATAAAGAATTGTTAGAACTTTTGATATTTTTTAAAGTACACACCAAAAAATGTTTACAAAAGATCTTTACTATATATAAAACCCTCTGATCATTGTATTGGTTTTCTTAGAGCTACACAAAAAAAATTCTTTTTTGAAGGCTAGAATATTTCCGTTATTCATGTGCTAAAATAAAATATAAAGTAATTCCACAACCAATTATCTGAATTAATTATAATTATTTTTGTAAGAAATTTTTTCTTAATGTCTAATATTTATGTTGTTGAAATATCTTAAATCTCACCGCTCTTGTAAAACTATATATTGAAAATTTTGATTATCCGACTACTTCAAATTAAAATTAGAATTTTAAATTTCTAATTATTATTCAAAATTATAACATTGTAAAAATAATATATATATTTCTTCATATAATATAATTACTCGCAAACTTTGCGGGCAAACACCTAATATATATTAATTGAGAAGTCATTTAAGTGACTTTTGTACACATGTCACTTATAGATGATTTGTAGGATTAACTGTTATAATACGTTTATCGCTGGTTTTTCATTTTTGATTTATTTAATTTGATTCTATAAAAGGAAAATAACAATAAACCGATTTTATATTATTTACCAAATAATCCAAAAAATATTAAAATAAAAAATATGTACTTAACTTTATGACAGATTTATTGTCAAATATATTCAATAATAAAACAATTAACTTTAAATATATGATTTAAAAAGAAACGTTCAATTATTTTACTTTTTTATCATTGAAATTTTATTCATGTTCTATCAGTCTATCATTTTAAATACAAAATAAAATTAGAATATATTTATAGATTTTTTCTTGTAGGAAATCTATTATCACCATATATATATATATATATATATATATATATATATATATATATATATTAATTGAGAAGTCACTTAACTGATTTTTATACACATGTCATTCATAGGTGAGTTGTAGGATTAATTGTTATAATTTGATTAGTTTATGTTCGTACATTATTGATTTATTTAATTCGATTCTCAAAAAAATCATAAACCAACTTATTTCAGTTGCCAAATAATCCAAAAATATTAGAATAAATACATATCATTAAGTTTATGATAAATTTACTGTCAAATATATCCAATAATAAAAATATTAACTTGAAACATATGATTTAAAAAGAAATATTTGAATATTTTACACTTTTGACCATTCAAAATTTAGCCATGATCGACCATTTTAAGCACAATGTAAAATTTGAATATATTTAAATATTGTTTATTGCAAAAAATATAATTAGATATTTTTTTAAATAAAAGTGATTAAAATCCCACTATATGTTAATTGAGAAGTCACTTAAGTGTCTTTTGCTTATATATCACTGATAAATGGAGGCTTTTTTAATGTGTTAATTTCATTAATTGATTATTTTTATTAATTATATATTATAGTCAGATCTAAAAAATAAAAGGAATTTTAGAAATCAATTAATATAAGTTATCAAACAACACAAAAGATCTTAAAATAATGATTTATGATAACTAATAGCAGAATTTGGAAATAAAATATAAGGTTTCAGTTTGTTTATTTTTGTCAGTTATTTATATATAATTAAGTCATGTAATCAATTATAATATGATATTTTTGTTTCCATGTGTTTAAAAAATGATCTGAACCAATTATAATATTATTTTTATATAAGAGAAAAAAGTTTACATTTAGATCTATGTTATTGAACTATTTTAAATCTTATAACTCTTCTAAAAATTGTATAGTAAAAATTTTGATTATCAAACTATTTCACTACAAGAAAACACGTCCTTTACTAGGACAGGTTTTCCTCGTTATTTCCTAGTAAAGGGCCCTTTACTAGGAAATAGCGAGGAAACGTGTTTCGTCGAAAGACGTTCATCGTAAAGGCTATTTTCCTCGTAAAGGCCTAGCTTCTTTACGAGGAAAGATTTCCTCGTAAAGCCGTGGAAACAGTGTCCTCGTAAGCTCCACGTAGACTTTCCTCGTAAGGGCGTAGTAA